TCAAATGTTCCGAAAGGGACGCATTTCTGTATTATTTGACGATTTAACACAGTAGGCGTAGTACACTGAAAGCTATCGGTATATTTTCCATAAATGGATCGACGCAAATGATCGCTACATTGGTTTAATAACATGCAAATGGTACAGACGTAGGAAGGAAAATTCGAAAGGGAGATTTGTTGTTTTTTTAACACGATTAAATTCTCGAGAAAATCGTATATGTAATATCGAAGAATTGTATTTTTGTGAATATAATCGAGAAATTTCTTAAACTAGAAAGTGTACTTGCTAATAAAATTCACATACACAGGGTGTATGGTTTATCCAGGTATTATAGCTCCTGCCTACTAACTACCTAACTAGGTTGTCATCTAGAACGACAATGATTTGACACTCTGTTGAATTAAAAAATAGTTCAGTGACACAAACTATATGTTATCGGACGTCACAATATTTCGATGCGGCTAAGTTGGTAGCATTGAAGAGAAAGATGGAAGAGGATATATCTTTCTTCTCTCTCGTTCAAGGTAGAAAAGAGCTCAATTCTGAAAATTTTGAATATCAAATAAGCCAACATAATCAAACGATGTGAAATATCGACAGGGGCGTAGTATTTCCGGTTTAATCGGATATTGGGCACAAACGTCCCCATTTTAAATTGTCCCTCATGTGTTGTGGCTTATATCAATTTACACTAGAGGACATTCGAAGTGGTGAACGTGACAACACGGCACACGAGATGTATATTCTTGTCAGTTCTCAGCATTCAGCACAATGATGCCAATTCTCCAACATTTAGATGGTATTTTGTTATGGAGTATGGAGTATGAGAAATATTTGGACATTCTGGTTGCTCGAAAAAGTTAAGACAACTAAATAGCATGGCTTCCTCCTATTATATTTTATTCAACGACAGGACTCAAACATATTTTTGATAAATTGATTATAATTGATGACTTATTATTGACATCCTTGCTTCATGAGTGGAAATGGAAGATTATTTGACCAATAACGAAACAGCATTTATTCGATGTATCGCCAAAATGGCGGCCGTGACGGTACGTTTGAAATGAGCTCTGCAATTCAACGATTTTGAACAATGCCAAGACTAATTATTTACATAAAGAAACGGGAGAAGTATCTCAAAAATTAATTTAGATCTCCAAAGACACAGTGGAGTAACTGAACCCAGACAGAACCAGATATTCCATGAATCTCCCTATCATATTCCTTTTGGAATATTGGAATATTCTAGAAATAATCTGGAATATTCTGGAATATCTGTGGAATATTCTCTGAATATGCGAATGGGAATTCCTCAGATATTCATAGAATATATCCAAAAGAATATTCCATGTTGAATATTCCTGGAATATTCCAATAAACATATTCTAAAATGAAAAAAATGACCCTAGTAGGGATCGAACTCGTGACCCCAAGACTATCAGACCAACGCCTTGACCACTAGGCCAGTAATCGAATTAAATAATGTTGTACATATCAATTTCTTGTGAGAGCGTTGTTCGAAATCGGATCATAAACACTTTTTGTTTCAAAATCCCCTTACATCTAATTTTGATGTTCGATACTCACAACTCTGAAATTATGATGGGTATTTATGTGTTGAGAAACACAGGAATATTCATGGAATATTTCATGAATATACACCACAGAATATTCAGTTGAGAATATTTCATGAATATACCGCACAGAATATTCAGTTGAGAATATTTCATGGATATACCCCACAGAACATTCAGTTTGGAATATTTCATGAATATACAAGAGAGAATATTCATTTGGGAATATTCGTGGAAAATTCATACCTGAATATTCCCTGAACATCACTTTGGAATATTCCTTCTAGATGTTCCAGAGGCATGTATATATTCTAGGAATAATCGATGAATATTCGAAATATACTCCTCCTTTTTAGCATATTTAGAGAATATTCTAGGAATATCCAGTGCTGTCTGGGAATGCCAATAATTCAATATCAGTCCACTCACCCATTCAAAAATGTTAAATTCAAGACAATAAATAAGCTTTTTCCTCGGCTTTTTCGAGATTTGTCTTCCGAGACAAAGAATGAGGTGAGCTAAGCAAAATCCTTCAGTTTAGTGCTTGTGGTAGGTACAGATACAAGTCAAAGTTACGTTACGTGAAAGAATGCCCCCATGTAGCTCGAAATGGATTCGAATGGCCTTTGGGAAGCCGTTAGCGACCTTGACGCATTCAATGCGGTTCTCGATCCCTCTGGCTTTTGAAAAATGTTCGTTCTCTCATCTCTACTCTCTCTACATAGATTAAAAATCTCTCGAAACTTTTGTCTTTTTTTTTGCCGCACAGTGTAGAAAATCACCTGTGGCAGGTTCACCAGGTAGGTAATCGCTTTTGTGTTGGAATGCCTCGAAGCGTTAAGGATTATGGGATTAGGGAAATTCAGGGGTGAATGTACACGAGCCAACAATATACGGGACGTCACCGAAAATGAGGCGTTTATTAGATGACTACAATGACTGAAATTTCTTTAAAATGTATTAAAAGTGAAAAAACTTTTCAAAACAGCTTTCATTTAAATGCTCTTGAAAGAAGAAAATGAAACTTTCCTTTCAAAATTCAACTATCGACTTATATTACCTCATTATACACAATTTATATGATCATGAAGCTTGTCGCGATGATCAATATTTTATTCAATTGAAAGTTTAAAAATTTAAACTTAGCCGATTTTACATGATTTAATTGTTACTAGTTTATACAGATAAGTAAATCTTCTTTTTAGTTTGGCTATCTATAAAAACGTGTTCCATTAGTTTTTCGAACTAATATACTATATATCTGATACCCGGCAAACGTTGTTTTGCTATATACATTTATTTTGAGAAAATATATTTTTAGTTGAATATTTAATAATAATAATAATAATGATAATAATAGGTCTTTATTAGGCGAAAGTTTAGTATAAAACTATTCTTACACTTTAACCTAACAATTATAGAAATGAACATAGATATCATTGTAGCATTCAACGTAATCAGAACTATACTCTGTAGGTATTGAAAACAAAGAAAAAAAAAATCAGAAGAAGAAAAATTCTTGACGAATGTGAGAGATAGATATATTATGAGATATGGTATTCTATTATGAGTTCAGGATAATCTTTTTGGCTAGAGGAGGGATATAGATTCATTGAGCTTTTCAAATTATTACAATGAGTTTATCAGCACACTTTAATTATTTTGTTTTCTACTTCTTTTAATTTGGCTATCCATTGAATCGTGTTTCACTAGTATTTCAAACTACTATTTTTATTTATTTCTTTTTAGTTCGACAATCTATCTCGTTTTTTAAACTATATACTATCAATTTTCTATTTCTATTCAGTTTGGCCTCGATGGCGATCAATTCAATATAGTTTTTCAAACTACTATTCATTACAAAGCTCTTTTTTGTTGTTTTTTTTTTTGTACTGAGTAAGTCAAAGCCGTTTAGCACTCAGACTCAGCACGAGGTGTATTTGCTTGTATCCATTTTTTTCGCCGTATAAATCTTTGTATAGGTACCTGTTCACCTGATAATGATGAACATTTTGAACAATGTTAAATGATTCTTTGAATTAGTTGAATTCAAATTTTGTCGAAACCATGGGAGAAATCGAATTTTATCAAGAGTACCTTTTTTGTAGTGAACAGGTTACGCAATCCAAATTTAATCAAACCCATTTTTTTTCCATTGGCATAGCAGTTTTGGATGTTTATTTACAGAAAAAATCAAGTTCTACGCCCATGGAATGATATTTATCATTATCATGATATGGGTTTAATTGTCAAATGCCAACGTACCAAATTTGAATAAAAAATCATGAGCCGTTTCAAAGTTACGAAGCAAAATCGATTTGAAAATTGTAACTCCAGAGCTGTCTAGCACCCAAACTAAGCAACTTTGTACTGACTGAGGTAACTTTGCTTGTATCGAATTGTTATATGGTCTGAGGAATATTGTGGTAAGTTTCTGTGAAGACCTTTCGGGGACACCCTGTATATACACTTGGATCGGGACACACGGTATATGCAATCAGGGTATCAGAGACAAAATTTCTTTCATGAGATAATTCAATTATTTGAAAACATTAAAAGGGTTTACACTTGGTGTGTGTACCTATTTCAAATTTTAATAAAAAAAGCAAACAAACACTACTAAACAAACGAATTCAAATGTTATGTAAGCACAAGAAGGTCTCACCAATTACCATTCATTTACATAAACGAAATTTATAGTTGGATTCGATCTTATGAGACTGTTAGAATGATGAAAATCCATTAGAATAATGTACCAGGGCCATTCTGATAAAGTATTTATTTTTTGCTATGAAAATGACAAAGCAATTAAAAAAAACATAAATATTTTGATGAATTACGTATATTTTCAGCAAACTCAATAAAACCTGAGTATTTTCTCTGATGAATCATAATTTCCTGTCTGAAACTTGGCTCATTCTGTTAATACAGTGAGTCACACTTCATTGGATTCGTGTAGCTAGAGGTTTCCTTGTGTCATGTGTCATAAATGTAGTATATTTCACACAAATTGGTGATTCTTCGTAATAATTGCAGCTTATATTTTCCAAGACATTTTCTTATCGTCATATTTGCCCGATGAATTTCCAACACTTCCTGTTTATTTTAAATATTTTTATTAAAGTTTAATATTTACTTTCGTAGCACGCTTAGAGATACCTATTAATGTAAACAGAATGCCAGACGTTGCTTGGAGATCTGTTTTCTGTTCCCCTCGAAAGAATTTCATTATAAAAACACTTAAGAGGAAAGCAGTGAATGGATAAAATGGAAATTTCAACCGTTTCATAAACAAAATTTGTGATCACAATATTACCTGACGAAAGTTCCTACTAGGTAGGTATTTGTGTGTGTTTTTTTTTAATTCGCATTGCATTACAAATTCCATGGAGTTTGTTATATTACACCTGAATAGGCGAATTCCACTCAAGAGATTTCCAACATCTTCATGTTCTTAGAAAAACAGGATGTGAACATTGAGATTGTGTGGATTTGAATGATTTGAAAACAAATTTCATTATTTTCCTCGGTATATTTATTTCATTTCATTTTTTTAAACTATTTTTAGGTGTATTTTTGGATTTGTAACCATGATCAGTAGCTATCGGAAAAGTTGATATGTTAGTCAAGATCATTTACAAACATCGTTAATGAAATGGGCCCGAAAACTGTTCCTTGGGGTATACCTATTGCTATTAGTAATATCCAAATGCTGTTATAATGGCAACTTGGTAAGTCCACCATATACTCATAAAATTATCAGTGATTCCTGTTCCGAAAATAAACTCACATAGATTTTGTCATAAACAAACATTTCAGTACTGTTTGAAAGCATATTTTACGGAATAATGGAAATGGAAACAGGATTTTTGCTTCACAGCACATCTGCATACGAAAATAAACGTCACAGAAATTCCAACAATCGCCCAATCTATATAAAATTCCGCCTACCAGGATCAATTTACACGTCCTTTTGAGGTTATATCCGTAAGAAAACAACACTGTTCGATGAAAGGCTAACAATCAAAGAATAGGTCTATGGTTTAACAATAAGGATATTTGCTTCAACAAAATTAGCTGAGGGGCTTATTGTTCCTTTATCATTTTTTCCCTCCTATCATCTTTTCTCACTACATATGGGAAAAACTTTTAATAATAATTTATTTCGAAATTCGATTTCGGTGGCGTTAAGTTTTGCTTTAAAAGATGGCTACTCGGTCGGGATCACGTATAACTTTCGCTACATACGTTTTCTTTTTCAAATTGATCACTGATAATAGGCTTCATTATTCCAATACCAAAAGAATTTTCAAAGAAAAGTTGTTTCTATTCCAATTTTACATATGTGTCCCGAATTTGAATGTTCGATTACAACTTTTAGTTTCTGATATTTTTTCCGCAGAAAATGATCAACAAGAAATTCGATAATAGGTTCAATGAAGAGCCTCAGATTAGCCTTGAATTATGGCGTACTCAAAATTCTTGTATTCCTTCTTTTTGAGATTTGGTTCTGCTAGCTCAATGGTTAAGCTAGCAAAACCCATGATCAAAATGATCAACAAAAAATTCGATAATAGGTTCAATGAAGAGCCTTAAATTCGCCTCAAATTATGGTGTACTCAAAATTCTTGTATTCCTTCTTTTTGAGATTTGGTTCTGCTAGCTCGATGGTTGAGCTAGCAAAACCCATGATTTTTTTAAAAAACAATGTGCGAAAAATCGGCAATAGGCTAGGATTAGAGCCTAGCCTTTTATTGGTATAATTAGTTTTGTGATTGAACTTTTATTGACGAAGTGGTTCTGCTAGCTTAACGTTTTTCTTCATAAATCGATGAAGAGCAATAATAAATTCAGCGATAGAGTAATAAATTAGCTTCAATTTATAGACGAAGAAAAAATTGAAAAATCTAAAGTGGTCTACTAGCTTAATAGAGGTTTAATAATGCCCGCTTTAAATTTCTGATGATCTCGTGTTTGATGCAAATAAGCTGATGTATCGTCTTTCATTCAGGAGCGAAATTTATTTAAATTGATTTTCTGTGTACTAAAAATGTTGCCAATGTGTGGTTCTTCAGAAAAAATGGTGAAAGTCATGAATCAAAACATAATCAAACTACTTTAACTATCCATTATCTAACCAGAGCTCAGAACAGTTTTGTCGAAGTAACAATTTAGTAGAAATCAAAAAATATCAAGAACTAAGAAGTCCCAATAGAAACGTTCAAATTCAAGACACATGTGTAAGATTGGAATAGAAACAACTCTTCTTCGTAAACTTATTTGTAATTCGAACAATTAAGCCTATTTTCAGAAATACATTTGAAAAAAATGTAACTTTTGACATGTGAGCGATAATCACGTGACTGCGACCGACTAGACCATTTTCCATCTACCTATTTCGAAGGAAAACTCAACGCCCACACCGAATTTCAAAATATATCATTATTTAAAGTGTTTCCCATATGATGCCAACTCTTTATGAATGACACTGTATATCCACGACCTGTACCCTGTGTACCGAATAAATAGCAGATTCGATTTGTCATCTGTTTCGAATAATTGACCATGGCCAACTTTGTGAACAGGTTCACGCGCGCATAACCTTTATTTATAGCCATCCAGGGTCGTTCTAAGAATCCGAGAGCCCCCCCAACGGGGGACACTCGAAAACTCGAGGGAAAAAATACTAACCTAGGTCTTCGACCAGTCTCAGCATGACTCCTCCGATGTGTACGTCTCCTTTGACACGGATCAGCCGCTCAGTTTGCAGATCGGTGACGAAAACGCGAAGGTCCCACGATCCGTCGCCTACTACGTGTCCGTTGGCGATCATTTTCTTTTTTTTTTCGTTTGTTTTTGTACGGTCACTGATTCACTGAGGGAAGATTCGTCACCGGGAGGGAGAGAGAGATATTATATGACACTTCACATGGTCGCGTGTTGAGATGGGGCGCGGGATGGTACCTTGAGGAAGGCCGGAATTGGAATGAGAATCGAGAACGAGCTGAGAGGAGGCGGAGACCCAGAAAGGTAGAGAGATAATGCGCATGTGCAGAATTTACAGTGCGGCCGCGGTAGAATGGGCGAGTGGGCTGATAGTGAATTATTGGCATTCAATTACTCCACTGTATCGTTAGGAACCTGAATTAATTTTTGCAACACGCTTTTTTATGTAAATAATTAGTCTATGTGCGTTGTTCTAAATCGTTGAATTTCAGAGCTCATTTCAAACAAAACGTTATGGCCGCCATTTGGCGATACTTCCAACTGGAAAATTGCAAGAGTACAACCAATTCCTAAAAATGGCAAAAAGACCCTCTACTTTACCTAGCAACTACAGACCGATCGCACTGCTATCTATTATTTCAAAGAACATGGAGAAATCTATCAACATCGAGCTCATGAAATACCTGGAACATTCAGAGATCAACTGGTGACCTGATCGCTTACGTCTCACATAGATGGCAGCAATCTATCAAAAAATATGGTGAAACCTTAGCCGTGGCACTTGATATCTCCAAGGCATTCGATCGAGTCTGGCACCACGGACTCCTCGCCAAGCTTCCATCTTTATGCATGGCTTGCCTCCCCAGCTATGTTTTCTGCTAGCTAGTTTTCTCTCAAACAGGTCTCTCCTTGTAGTGGTCGATGAAGTTTCATCTGACTCTCTTGTCATAAATGCTGGTGTTCCGCAAGGATCAATTCTAGCACCAACACTATTTCTACTCCATATCAACGATTTGTTGGAAGCAACTTCATGTCCAGTACACAGCTTCGCGGATGATAGTACCCTCCATACTGCTTTCCCTTCCAGGGCTCCAATACCAGCCAGACAAATCAGAAACGAACGAGGGAGAAATGTTGACAATATGAATATGGACTTGACAACAATTCTCGAATGGGGATCCAATAACCTGGTAGATTTCAATGCAAACAAAACACAAGCATGCCTTTTCTCTAGAAAAGCGATCTCACTGTGTCCAACATGAGCTTGTCAGGAGTAACCATACCTTCGATGCTTGGTATTACTATCAGCAATAACCTTTCTTGGGCAAATCACGTGGGATCAATTGCTAAAAGTGCATCTCAAAAACTTGGTTTTCTGTTTCGGGCCAGGGGCTATTTCACTTCCAGTCAGCTGCTTATGATCTATAAGGCACAGACACAGATCCCTCCTGTCCTGGAATACTGTTCCCATATTTGGAGTGCAGCATCCACACATACCCTGAAACTGTTGGATTCTGTCCAAAAAAGGGGAATTCGTCGCGTGGGTGATGCGTCATTCACAAACTCACTCACTTCTCTGGAACACCGTATAGAAAAGTTGGCGATTTGGATCTATTTTATAGATATTTTCATGGACGATGCTCTTCTGAAATATCAACAATTGTTCCTCCCTTGGCAATCCCCGCGAGATTAACCCGTCGAGTTGAGGCTTCGTGGTCAATTTGGAGACCTGCAGATCATCTCTTACCAAAGACTTGTTCATCCTACGAACAGCGAGGCTCTGGAACACATTGCCAAAGGAAGTGTTCCTCGAGGCACATAACCTCCAGAAATTTGAGAAGAACACCAATTCCTACCTTACTTCCCTTGGTTCTCACGATGTTCTCTGAACATTACAGGATATCCCTTTTCGTGGGAACCAGAACATAAAAAAAAAACTTGGGACACCCGGAATTCACAATTAACATAGAAAATATTTGTACCTCTCTAATAAGTATACATATTCTATGTTGTGTATTTATCAACACACTTATTATTTTATTTTTTACTCCTTTTTAGTTTGACTATCTATAAAAGGGTGATATAGTTTTTTAAACTACTAGGTATATATTTATTTTCAATTTTTCAGTTCGACTATAATTACAAAAGCTTTTTTTATTGTTTCTATATCTTATGTAAGTACCCATCAATTTTGACGAAAGAATCATAATAATCTCCTACCCCAAAAACCCCCATCAGATACCATTTTTTTTTACGAATCGGACCATGATTACAATAAAACCCGTCCGCCATAGTGAATTTCGACAAATGCATCATAATCTAGCTCCTCCCCGAAAACGCCCAGATGCCGATTTTGAATAGAATCGGATGATCTACTCACAAAACTCGTTCACCTTATTGTATCCGCCATGTTAAATTTTTCAATTTTGACGAATCATGGTCTCTAACCCCTAACACCTCCAGATATAAATTTTAACTACAATCGGATCATATATTAATTACAAAACTCGTCCGCCTTATTGGATCTGATGCCATCTTCAATTTTCAAATTTTGACAAAAGAATCACAATCTTTGACCCCGAAAACCACCAGATACAAATTTTGAATAGATTCTGATCTTAAATACAAAACTAGTCCGCCATATTGGATTCGCCCTCTTAAATTTACCAATTTTAATGAAAGAATCAAAATCTCCGACCTCGCGGAAACTTCCAGGTACCAATTTTGAATCGAGTTGGATCAAAATTACAACCAACATGACATTAAGTCTCTTATTTCGGGTATAGGCCGTTTTTGCCAAAAAGTTTTTCGTGCCGGCTACTGACCCTTTCGTTCAACTTGTGAGTTCGCATTCTGTTTGGCTTCTTCGTTATTCAATTTTGATATTCATTTCCCATAAATTCATGTTAAGCTATAAAATAGTGTTTTTCCAGTAAAAGCTAATAACATGATAGGTACATGAATAAAAATCTCAATATTTTTCATTTTACGTACCTATATATTTCAACTCTCAAAAACAACTTCATAAAACCATAATTAAAAAATCTCGAAGGTTGATATTTTCCAAGTAAAATGTAAATATTCTTATATTAAAACTTTACAAAATGATCAAAAGGGTCATAATATGTTCCTGTCCCTTGTAAAATTCTCACTAATAGATGTATCTGAGTAAAATGACCTTACATAATATAGAAATCATCAAGTGGAATGGAGAAAAGAAAGAACAAAAAGATTCTAAAATTAAACTAACACTTCACACTAAGTGCATTACTCCGAATTTTTCTCTTTTTTGACAATTTTTCGAAGGATGGAAATACTCGAACTAAAATAATGAAAGACCAGTCAAAATGTCAACTTTGCTGAATGATATGGGTGGTTATCATATTGTTTTCTGCACCCAAAAGTGAGGTGCTTTGAAAGCGTTCCTATAGTGTTTAAGAAAAAATGCCAGTATTTCCTCTTAATCCCTCATTAGTGTGATTTCCGACCTTTCATTCCCTGTGCAAGTGCATTAATCATATAAGATCATTTTTGCCAAAATCATCCAATTGGTTAAGACCTATTTAAAATAATTTTCTCAGGCACGACCTCAACACAACCTGGATCAGGTATCCTATCGCGGGTATAATATCGAACAGGCTCACTTTTCCCACGAAACTGTTCGCTAGCTGTCACGTGTCGCTGGTCCCTTTATTCGGCAAACCTAAGCTACTGAAGTATAGTAGGGCCTTTCGTGCCAAATCCGGCGTGATATTGTACAAGGAATGTGTCGGCATCTGAAAAAATAATAGAAAATTTCAGAGTGTAGCATGATAGGTGCCTTTGCAGTTGATAGGAGAAAAAGTTCTAATTCACTTAGGGTCAAAACAGCTCTAACGCTCCTAAACGGTTTGAGATACAGATTCTGTAGCAACTTATAGTGAAGACCTCAGACTAAATAACTAAATCATTAAAAAGGATACGCCAATAATCCGAAACGCCAAACACTGATAAATGAATGAAATCACGAATGGTGGGGATCTCTGCGGAACCATTGCCAGAGCATTGATTTTCTTTATATATATATATAACATTAGTGAGTTACATTGAAATCATCTCACTTGTGCAAATTGAAGTCAAGAAAAATTGATGAGAATCATAAAACACATTGAATTATTGCTTGAAAAAGGGTTCATGGGAAACTATATTGTAAGTGAGAGTTTTGTTAACATTGAGAGTATGAGTTATGGCTTGAAATTATTAATCGTCATAACAATTCTGAAGTACAACAAAATATTTTTAGTTTTGAAAATTAATCTTAACATCAGTGATTCATAGCTCGAAAAATCTAAGGAAAATCTTGCCAAATATAAACACATGTAACTTGTCCTATATTTAATTGATTCTTCCAAAATTTATTGCCAAAATTCAGTATAGAAGCAGGAACAATTTGCATCAAATAAGTCAGTCTGAAGTTATTCTTGAAGCAGTCTTGATCAGTCTCCAATCTCCGTTGTGTTAACTGAAAGTTTTGTTAGTGAGCCTCAGGAATGATTGAAGTTCAATCTATTGAGCAGAATTCGAAATGTTGAGTCTTAAACGTGACTCCAAAACGTCTCCAGCAGACTTTGTATCTGTCTATCAAACATGCTACCTCTTCAAACAGTGAACTTCATTGATATCACCTGTGTAATTAATTACTCAGGTACATTTATTGTAAACTGTAACCTTTTGTGACTTGACGTAAAAGTGAAGTGACTTTCTAGTTTCTCCTTTCTCGCAAATTAAACACAAGCGAACAGTGGAACAAAAATGTTCAATTCAAAATGAAAGCAAACTTTGATTTTGTTGCCAGTTACCTCTGCCTGACAATACTACCTAAATATATGTCTCAGTAACTATCTATATGGTGTCTTTATGTCTAAAATCTCAGACTGCCTCAATAATCACAAACCCATTGATCGTAAAAATTACTTTGTGAAGACCCCCGTAATCGGCTAATGAACGAAGAAAGTTGGGGGCTGTACAAATGATTCTGCAGAATTATCCCCACCATTTGTGATTTCATTCATTTAGAATTGTTGGCATATTTACTTTCTCGTTATTTGTTCTGAGGGGTGCAACTCTTCATACTTACCACTGCATTTCTTTTGGACCCCAAAATCGAGATGCCCCTATAGTGTTGTGCTACCGACAAACCACTGAGAGTGTAGCAGGTGTGATAAATGTCTCGATTCTTGCCTGGCTTGTCCAGCAAGCCCCCCGCTGGGCTTTGACAGCAAACGAGAAGGTACTCCTGAAGCGCTCTTTCCTCAAAAATATGATTGGGAGGAAATTTGCCATCTAAAAATGATAATACAAATAAATACAGGAAAGCTCAGTCATTTCCACAAATGTTCGTAAAATGAACAACACTTGTAGCGTTGATTGATATATTACGCTTACGCTGGGAAGATGCCCAACCTTTGTTATTTGCGAGTCAATGCCCCGCTCATCCCCTCGTCTATCGTTTAGCCACTGTGAGGTAGCGACTCCACTAGGCACACAGAACATGTCTGAACTAATTGTACAGATTACTACACTTCTGTACAGAATTACAGATCCCATCCCACCGCGTGCTATCGCTCCAGAAATTTTTGTTTATCCTTGTCTTCTACGATGAGAACCGACCCGCCCGACCGGTTCCGATGAAAAAATGTTTGCTACGGTCGGTGAATCCCATGGACGTATATGGGGAATCCGCATTCCTCAACAATAACAACGGGTTGCGAGTATTGATTTTTCCTCGGTTCCTTGCGGAAGAGAGAAGAACATATTATGATCTCTCACTCAGTTGGGTTCCTACTCCGTGGCGATTTTTTAAATTCCCTTGTGAATAACTTGTCATACTTTGCCTAGACCAATATATATGTAATGTATATCTGGAAAAACATCTCACGCCTTTTTCGTTGATTATTTTTTTCACTCAATTTGTATCCATATTAAAAATTTGTATTAATAACACACTACAAAATATTGATAATATCATGATAATATAATCAATCTGAATGTGATAATTTCTTAGAGTCTCATCAGTAGAGACAGTAGATAGAAAATAAATAGTCAGATATCTTTGAATCTTTGATTGTTAATGGTTCACTATAGAAATGAAATTAAATACATCATCTATAATAGGCATAATATACAGAGTGAGTCATAACTATTGGAACATATATAGAATTCATTTATTCCCATACAACACATGGACATCCGATGGATGTCCATAGGATATCCATTCAGGATATTTTGGATATCCAATGGACATCCAAATAACGTCCAATGGATATCCCATGGACGTCCAATGGATGTCCTGAGGCCACCAACTTGTACGTCCATAGGATATCCTTCACGGACGTCCATAAAATATCCTTCAATGACGTCCATAGAACATCGTTCAAGAACGTCCATACGATATCCTTCATGGACGTCCATAAGATATCCCTCATGTTTTCATGGGTGTTCATATAGGATATCAGTTCTACTCTGTTCTATGCGCATCTGTTAGCTGGCGAGTGAACGTATGATTATTCATTGTCTCGCAGACTGTCATTTGTTTCTCAAAACTGGCTTCAATTTTGAACAAGGAAAGGATAGGACGTTACCCATATAGTTGTTATTGAATATATGGGACCCACATGGACATCCAAAATATGTTTGGTGAGTCCGACACTGCCGACTTTTGTCGACATCTCTATGTTATTCTGGGCGTTATTGTTCAACGACGTGGTTCAATGCTCCAATACAGGATATCCCATGGATATCCATTGGATATCCAAGAAGACGTTGAAAAATTCCATATTCGATATATTATATATTTCCTAGTAATATAACTATGTACACACATAGATTTGAATTTTCATCAATTTAATTCATATTCACAATTTATTACATTGATTATATCCGCGCGGGTGAATTTTGGATATCCTATGGATATCCAAAAAGGTCCAAGGATATCCCGACATGAATTGGACATGATTTGGACGTCCATAGGATATCCCGTGTTGTATGGGTTTATTGGATTACAAGAGTTGAAGCTGCAAGCTTATGAACCATTTTTTACAGTATCTAGTTGTTGAAAAATATGAACTCTTTTTTGGTATATTTGAAGAGATATAAACAAAATCATCAGAAAACAGCTACATTTCCAGTCTATATGCAGCTACATTTCCAGTCTATATGCCACGATATAAAATCATGAAATCGGCGTTGATTTTTTGTGATACCAGTAACTTTTTCTGAGTAGAATCGATTTTGCCGCTCCAGAACAACGGAGTACAGACTACGGAACGCTCAGAATAATCTCCGCCCTAACACCAGAGGGATGTTCTAGGTATACGTACCATAGATTAACGAATGTACGTGCCCTTTTTGTCACACGGTACAAGGACATAATTGGGGTAACCAGGGGATGTCCCGCAGTGGTTGTCCAGTGGACATCCGGCCCGGTACATCCATAGGTTATCCTATTCGTGTCCCTGGAATATCTGATATCTATTCACATCAGAGTCATTGACTATCATCAAAATATTGACTTGAATTTTTATGAAAATGTTTGATTTTTTTCCGGTAAATAATTGTAATGAGAATAAAGAAAATTGTCTCAGAACTTCTCAAGAAATTACCATTTCGCAAACAGAAATCGTAAATGCATAATGCCCCTCATTTTTAAACATCCACGAATGATAATAATTATACCCAAATCCTAACAAAGTTGTATTTATTCAGGTTTCTGCAGTTTAGTCCTGTTTAAAAATCGATGTTTGGTACATAAACCTCCAGAAGGCATATCAGCCAATGGGGTAAGGTGCGTGCCTGAAGCTAAAGGTCCCGGGTTCAAACCCTACTCGACCTACTTTTTTTTTTTTTTCCTTTTGTCGAAGGGATGTCCCTGGAATATCCTTGGGACCTCCTAGGGATATCCTTTCTTCGTACTTGGTACATTCCAGGGACGTACCAGACGGAAATCCCTTGGATGCTTTTTTTGTCAGCCAGCTGATTTCTCTGGGACGTCCCTAGTATGAGTATGTACTCTGTCCCGACAAAGGATATCTCTGGGATGTCCTTGTATAAAATTAGGGACGTCCAAGTCCTTAGGATGTACTTGTGTTGTTAGGGCGACAAACGACGGCTTGGCAGCCCTATCGCCGACAAACGCACCGAGTCGGCCGCCCCACAAAAGTCAAAGGAAATTATTGGCACGCCAAGTTTCGGCAATACATAGGTCGGATCATATACCAGTATAAAATACTTTGGATTGATAGCGGTATAGAATTGTCACGCAATATGTTCCGCGTTTTTCATGTGATAAATATCAGTAATTTCAATAATAAAAATTTCACAAATTGTACATAGCTCTGACAAGAAAATGATTTGCGACAGTGAATTATAGTTTGATTTAGTTATTCGACATAATGAAATATGAAATTCCACTCAAACAGACCCATATAGATTCAGTTCTAGGGTAAAATACACTAAGGTGACAACACTGGTCCGGGTTCGTGAATTTCAATCAAATTTATGAGCAGCTTATATATTGATATTTGCTGACCAGTTTATTCCACAATTGCCAAAAATGGAAGCATTTATTGTTGAGACATTAAATTTTGTGATTCACTCATAAAGTTTTTTCATGATCTCACGTCCGTGATGCGCTCGTTAAAAGCACATCCAGTACAACTATTACTAACAAATTCGAATTTACCGCCATATTAGTTAGAATCGTACTGATTGAAGGTGGATTCGATACAAGCGTTCTGGATTATGGATTGTTTAATTGTTCCAAGTCGCACGCCATCTGCATTCCAATAGATTCTCTTCGTAAGTGGCGCACCTGCCCGTCAAATTACGAAGTATTGCTCCGACATCGTTCGAAACTATCGCCGCCACTATGTGAGATTTCGAACTATGGTACGCCATCTAGTTGTGAGATTTTTTTGGACCTCGTTTTGCCCCATAAGGTTGGGCATCTTCCCAGCGTAAGCGTAATATATCAATCAACGCTTGTAGATAGAAAAACTAAACTACTTTCCTGGCTAATGCCAAGCAGAACATTGAATTAAACCCTCCCGAAATCTATGCATTGATAGGTATAAAGGAATACTAATGCAAGTGTTTCTTTCCCTAAGCCGACTGATTTCTCTCCAGCTAGTCCGAAGACCGCCGGCTAAGCGCAACCTGGCCCAACAAATTCCAATCGGCAATATTTATGGTTCCACAGGTAGTTGAATAATAACAATAAATGAAATTTATTGAGTATAGATACTCAAAACGCCATCGATCGAGGCCCTTCAGCCACAGTACAAGTTTCATAAATACATATCAAGGTTATTGTTACGACAATTTAATTCATGTATGAAAAGTCCCACAAGCCGCGTGATTTTGTCATTATGACAGTGAAAAAAGTTTGCCCTAACTTTTCCAGCGACAATAACGGAACCTAACTTTTAAAAGCATGACAACCAGCCATAAACAAATGTTTGATGAATTAAATTATCTTACCGAATTACACTGTAGCTTTTTTTGTAGAAGTAAACTTGGCATTTATAATTAGAATTTTATTGCCATTAGGTAATTCAACTAAAAAAAGTGCCAGAAAAAATCACTCATCCTACGGACTCGTAATTTTTTCAGAGGCAGTTTTTTTCGTCAAATTATTGACAGTTTTCACGATGAAACTAAAAGTTCACAAGAAACATTTCGCAATGTTGTCACTCCCATAAAGTGTGTTCAGTGTGTTTATATTGTGTTCCTCAATGGTTCCTTCTGTAGAATGGGGATATGAAATTCTTGTTTTCCGCTTTCTCACTGAATTTGGAGAAGTGGACTAGTCTTTCCTGAGCTGTATTCTCGTTGTTTTATACAGTAGTTCATTAGGTAGATTATTGATGGGATTGTTAGGATGTCTTATTAGATCAGTTGTTTCAGCTACTTTGAGAATTCCCCAAGTTCTGGTATATTATATGTCCATATTCAAGCAGTGGTCTGCGAATCATTATGTGAATTTTAGAAAATAATGAATTATATTGATACCCCAAATTTTTACAATTGGTTATTGGAATGACATTGAATTTAGACTGGGTTGTTACAAGCATACAATAAGATGAAGAAAGAAACGTTGATGCCTCAGCAATTGTGCTACATTCTATCTGACTGAAAGATATGAGATATTAAAAAGGAAGGCACATTTACATAACTGAATTTCTTTTGGGTGTAAACTTAGGTCTTTAGAGGCAGATTGAAGCAACACAAAATAATTTCACATATTGGGAGCAGAGCAATACATAATGATCAGTGAATGCAAGTACTTTTTCCCTTTAGTTTCAAAAATACTTATTATGGAAACTTACCTCTACTAAGTAAAGTGTAGAGGAGTGGAAATGCGCCCCCTTGCCAGAAGGAGTAACAGCCGTCCACTAATTTGTTTGTTCTGCCTTGGAAGCCACCCTCTAACCTCATTTGACGATTAACCAACCAACGCTGAAAACGAAACCTTTTTATATTCTATCAAATTCTCAGCATAAAAATGAGAATTTAATGCTAAGGTTTTCCACCATGATAAATATTCATATATGTATACAGATGTATATCTCAAAGAAAACAAAGCCAATATAATTTCAAAGATTGAATTGTTTGTTTTTGATACTGCTATAAATAATTTATTACTTTTATTACCACAAGAAACAATACCTAATAATTGCAGTTATCTTTCAACAACGAATAAATATCATCTGTTTCAAGCATTCAAGACCATCAAAATTTTACCAAGAAGACACTATAAATTGGGAAAGAAGGAAAGAACTTCTTGACAAAATCCAAAACACGTGAAGTTTGATTGTGAGGGGGATAACTTATGCCAAAATCATAGCAAAACTTTCAACCTCCTAAATGGAGGTGTCCCCCCAAATCTTTTCAATTGGAAATATTTATATTCACTTATTTTCATATTTTATGACCAGTGATCACTCTCTAATTTTTTCACGTCTTTTTGGGATAATACATATATAAAATCAATCAATCAATTGAGTGATTCACTACTCACTAGTAAAGCTTGTTCGTCTATCAAGTGACCTTTGTTGAGGATAACTAGAGCTGCCAGGCCACAAAATGCGTACCCCCCATGGGCCTCCATGCCGGGGAATCCCGCAAATCCTCCTTCATATGTTTGACAACTGATAACACAAAAATAGGTGGCATAAAAGGTGATTCATTGATATAGCAGGAAAATTCAAGACACAAATGTTATATTTCATACTGAGACCCATTTTTATTCCCCATGAGATGATGTATTTCAGGACAAAGTAACAGTTTATTTACACTACATGAAAAGGCCTACTTCTAAAATTTTTGGGGGCAGGAAATTTGAAACATGAAAGTGATATTTGAAATAAATAATTTGATGAGAAAACAACTGATTCAGTATGAGTTATCAAAGCATTGATTACATTTTTTCATCACCAGACCACACCAAACTTAACATACTCTTATTTGAATAACTGAAGCTCATAAAAAATTGTAGGACAGGCCTAATGGCCTAATGCATAATTTTTTTGATGATGGAAAGTTCAAAAAATCATATAAGCAATTTTTTATGGAAAATCTGAATGAACCACATTAGTTCTTGCTTAAATTTCTGCTCCTTAACAGAAGACCTTTCATCTACCTCTGAACTTTGAAAATTATGTCTCAATTGTTGAAATTAGAGGAAAAAGTTTGGGATACAAAGTGGAAACATTTACAAAACGATAATCATGTTAAACATAAATATGACACCAAAAATAAAATTGATGGTTGGATATCAACTGAGAAATTCTCTTCAACTTTAATGCAACAACATGCCATTCATATAGGTAAAAAAATTTACAATGAATTGCCTCCTCGCTTGAAAAAAATCAGTTTTTTTGAATTCAAGAAAAAAATTAAATCAAGAATTCAGAAATTTTGGAAATTTGATTATATGAAAAAATACTGATGCAACATAATCATGTTTTTATAGTTGTTTTTAGATATTATAAAAATGTGTTTATTATTTCAATTGTACTCAATGAGAAAATAAGTTTTAGTTAGTGGAAGTAAAAAAAAATACATGATCATGGACAAGATTTCAACTTTTTTGATCATGTTTATATTATAAAAAAATGTATATTATCATTAATATAGTATGCTGCTATGTATGTCATTTTAAAAATGAATAAATAAATAATATGAATTTCAAGAATCCAAGATTCTAACCTCACTATCCATTCGGCAGTACCATCAAGCAACTTAGGAACCAATATCCCTGTAAGGCTAGCCACTGACAGGGCACAATAAGCTCCCCTGATGTCAACTTCGCCTCCCACATGCATTGAAAAGGAACCGTCCACTTGCCTTATCCTGAACAGGAAATCTTGTAGCTTTTGTCTATTGATAGAGGCCAATGCCTCCTCAGTACCAAGAATAACAAGAGAGTTGACAGCAGCATAGGTGGCTGCTAAGTGAGACAGTTGGCCTGGGCCCCCTCCATAACCCCCATCTTCATTCTGACATCTCAAAAAATATCCCAGGAAATATAATTAACTTGTTGGTTATGAATATCTCATTACATTTGATCATTAAGGAAGGTTATTTGGTACAATTGATGAATGATAACTTACTTGGATAGAAATTTCACAACAGACTTTTTTTTCCTGTTATCCAGCTGAACACCCAACAAAGACAAACTGTGTAAAATCCAGTAACATAGCCATGGTCTGCTAGAATCTAAGCACTAAAACAGTTCAAGAGGTCTACTGATCGAAGCTTTCATCATAGTTGAGAATGTTTACCTACCTCATATCCAGATGATAGGTATGTGATGCTATTATACAGAAAATTCTTGTGGTGTTCTTTGAGTAATTCTGGTAGACTCGGGTGCACCTTCAATTTTATGTGTAAATCCTCGTACTTCTTTTGGACTGCTTGTTCTACACAGATCTAGGAGCAAGAAAAGGTTTCCAAAAGGTTAGGTTATGTTTTGGTATCCTTACTTGTTCATCGGATGATTTGGTAGGAAAGTTTTCGGTGTTGAATTTGCATTTTCTTATATCAACAATGGGGCGTAATTTCAGATCCAAACTCATTATTGTTACATCTAAAAAAGTTAATAAAAACCAGTTAAAATTATATTACAATCACGATACAATAACAAATTCTCAAATTCAACTCAAGGAAATGTCAAATGTCAGTTGTCATCCTCCATAGGTCACAACGATGTAGGAACACAGGAGATAGAACTTAAACAAATATCGACATAAGACTTTCGGCCATTTGCTCTTCAAGGCTTTTGCCAGTTTACCAACATCGATAATTATATTTAAATTATATTTTTGAATTATTAGTTGTCCGATATATCGTCAATAAAATAAATAAAACCTTTGATTATATACACTAGTGTGAATGCTCAAAGATGAAACTTGTACTGTGCATTTGCGATAACCCCTTAGAGTGGGTCAATAAGTATCTCGATATTATTACAGCGTGAACAAAATATCATTTAATTCATGATATAAGTATAAGAACGTTCAATTACAAAGTTCAATAAGTTTTGGTGTAAAATGAAAAAATACATGTACTCATCATCGGAATCATCTGATATAGTAAGTTATTGCACAAATCTTCATGTTGTTCTCATTATCATCAAGAACACAAACATATTATTATCAGATCATCATATTATTATTATCATTATTTTTATCTCGCTCTTTCTATTTTATTGTATCTAATAATTTTATGGATCACAATTAATAACAAAAACTGCAGGTCTTTTAGAAAAAATAATGGTTATTTTTGTATCTATAGTGCGCGAGTAAAAAAAATAGTCGAGATGTCCAAATAAGTATTTTGCGCACGAGTTGCAAACAACATTTTTTCCACAATCGTCAAAAATTACAATTCTCAAGTTGTTGTACTTAGTATACTTAGCTCAAAATAAAAAATTGTGTTGAACTGGTTTTGAAGGTCTCTCCGAATCCTCCCAATATAGGTACGCACGATGTTCCAAGAACATTATAGAGGAATTTGAAAGAAAATTCCAAGAGTTAAAAGAAAAATAACTATTGTTAAACATTCAGAAATACATGTTTTCTTGGATGTTTGCTCGATTGAGGATTTTAAACACAAAAATCTCATATAGTGTATACTTCGCGCATTGTTTTCCTTCGCACATATAGATGTCGTGGTAACATAGAAAACTGAAAAAAAGTGTCACTTCGCAATTTGTTATCAATGCGCGAACCTTCATTTTCTGATGTTTGTAGAAAATAGTTATTTGTTTAATTAGGCAGCAAAGTAGTAGATTGACTGCCGACTTGAACATATAATTTTTCTCTGATTTTTCATAATGATATAGGAGGATATATTGTATTTGCAAATTATTACAATTCCCACAGTCTCTTTATTTTTCCTGTGGTGTTCAATTAAAATAAAATTTGATAGAAATCGCAGTTGTTGGAATGGTTGGTTATATTATAATTATATAGTTTGACAATTCATGAACTTCATTAAATTCATGAAATTTCTGACAGTTGTGCGAAAAAATATCGGTATATATATTTAAATTATTATATAATGGACAGTGATAGCGACCTGGAAGTACTTTTACTCCTCCAGAAATAATAAGGGAGGTGGCAAAAATTATAGAGTTGAATTTGTTGCCGGAGAAGTCTCGGATGAAATATATATGAAGGAAATTATGAACGATTTATGGATTATTGCATGGAGAAAAATGTTAAAAGTGTTATGTAATAATTGCTGATAAATGTTTACGTCAAATGTTTTATTCCCATTCAGTATAATCACTTTGCTGCCTAGGCATCAAAGTGGTTACTTTGCTGCCTTGACAGGAAAAGTAATACTTTGCTAATTGATATGTCAGTAAAATTAATATTTGCTGCCAATCGAAGAAAAAAATAGTTATTTATACATCAATAAGATAGTAAAGAATAAATCATTATTACCCAGGGACCAATAAGATTATATCCCGAGGCTACAGCCGAGGGGTATGAGGTCTCGTGGTAATAATATTCCTTTATTACTACCAAGGAGTATTTATTTAGTATATTGTTTAACGAGCACGGAATGAGTGATTTCCCACGAGAATGAAGTTTGCAGCACGAGCCGTAGGCGAATGCTGCAATCATTCGAGTGTGAATATAAATTAGCATTCCGCGCGAGTTACACTATAATTTTTCTACGGCTGTAACAGATAACAGCGGCATTTTTTATTTCTTCGTCTTGTAGCTATCTGATTTTTTGTCAAGTAATATGGCTCATCTATTAGATAGATCTGTCATTGCTTCACATTTGACATTCCATGGGCGATGAGTTTTTTTTAAATAATAACACAATGGCGAGTTATTGTGATATCAGATACGGAAATAAAATTGATGACATACAAAGTACCTCATTAATGAACACAGTAAAACAAGAGCAATCATGTGTTTTATATCCGTAGAAAAATAATGTTTTCTTAGCATTAGTCATACAAAAAAGTTTGAGCAATATTCAATGTGTAGTCCCACCCTGTATTATAGACTCCTGAGTGTAATTTTGGAATTTTTTAATTTTTATAGAAAGTTAAGTTCTAGTACTGATTTGCCTCATTTTATTCAAGAAATATCATCTTCAGGATTGCTTCCTTATTAGGAGACATCTCTCGGCTCATGTTCATTGGAATTTTTCTTCCTATTTTTGATCGTAGAAGCCGCCCGTGAAGTTTTGCAGACTAATTTCGGGACACTCTGTATATATTTCCCAACGAATGGCATATGTTTATACCACACAGTACCTAATTTTTCAGTCCAAAGGTTGTTGATGAGCATTATGATCTCTAGGAATTAACGTGGCTTTTTACCCTAAATAATATTTTTTGTAGTTTGACCCAAAACATAGTTAAAATATTTACACGATCAGCAAATGAAATGGGTATATTCTCAATAATATATCTTTTCTAATTGAATGTTGTTTTAGTCCGATAACCACTGTTCCATATAGAAGCACATTATATTATATTTGAGTTCTCTGGTCATTATTGAAAGATACAGTGTAGTGATAACGTAATGAATCATAATAAACGAAAAGTGATTTTAGTCTGATTTTATATTCTATATCAGTGAACATCATTTAAAGCATTCATATCCACCATTAAACTCATAGCACTGCCGCCTCTTCAAATAGGTAGGCAATAATAATAATAAGTATATGGTATATATAAATATCATCTTCATCCAAATTATTTCAAAAGGAGGAAGATAATAATATGGCAGATCCTTTTTGTAATCCTGATAGTCCAGTCAGGATAACGTTCGAAGAAGTGACATCTGCAGCCTATAAGATCAGGAGTGGAATCGACTATACGCCATGCATTGTAAGAACTTTTTTTTTTTTTTTCGTTGAAAACTCGAATGTCTATGATTTCGTATTTTTAGAAATCCCACTTGTCCAGTTTAACTGGAATGGATATATTTTTGAAGAAAGACTTTTTACAACACACTGGAAGGTAAGTATTATAATTGAGTTATTATATAACGCGGCTATAAATACTATATATATAGTTCATTTTTGTTTGTAATTTGGCCAATTCTGTCACAACTATTTTCTAGAAATATGCGCAAAAAATCACCATTTGATAATTTCGTAATAGTTGTATAATATTTATCATTTTTCAACAATTATTGTTTATTCAAATAAAGTTATTTTTGGATATAGAATCTGCAATTCAAATAAATAATTCAAATTTCTCCAGCACTTATTGTTATTTTTGCTATATTTATCACTAACTTATCAAATATCAAATGCAATTTTGAAAACTATTGCGAAGAGACATGGGACAATAAAAAAATCGTGCTATAAGTTTGGATATACAGGGTTGGACAAAAGTATGGAACCAGGTGAATATATATCAGTAACCGTTTGTTAGATTTTTTGAATATTTGTACATGGTGATTTCAAAACGTGTTGGATTTGAAAATGTTATCGTCGATGTTGCAACTTTTTCAGTTATTCCGGAATTATTATTATTATCTTTTTTTATTTCAACACCGTTCTTGAATTTGATTTATTTGTGATATTTGCATCATTTGTTTCAGTGGCTGATCCGTCACGCAGTCAATTTTAATGTGTAGATATTGCTCATACTTTTGAAAATTATAAGGATTAGCTAGGTATACTTCTAATCCTTTATAGGTTCGTTACATTATGCACTTTGATGTTTTAGGTCAATTTATTGTTCCTTTAATTAATTGAAACACCATCAACGAGTTATTGTGAAAAAAATTCGGATATTTATTCACAAATTTTTGTTCTACAGTTCCGAATCAGTCTTTTTGATTCTCTTCAGAATTTTTAACAGAGAATTGAAAAATTTCATTTTTGAAATTACGAAAAAACTCGAGAAAGCTTGACAAACGATACAACGATTTTCAGATGGCGATAATTCTCAGAAACAGCGAAAAATCTCGAGAATTTTCATTTTCCAGTTAAACAAACCTGAATCGATTGAGACCTCGAGCAGGTCGCTATGACCTATAGTTTTTGAGAAAAAGCAATTCACTTTGAATGTTTGAAACACCAGCAAGTTATTGTGAAACAATTAGGATTATCATTCACATATTTTTGTTTCACGCAGTTCCGAATCAGTCCTTTGACATTCTTTCAGAATTGTCAATAGAGAAATAAATTTCATTTATGAACTTGCGAAAAAATCTAAATCTAAATTTAAAACAGACTACCCTGAGTCGATTAATACCTCGAAGAGGTCGGTAAGATAGTGTGTGAGATATTAACGATCAAAGTGCGCAAAAAAACAGCAATTCGCTTTCTTTATATATTTATTTGAAATACCAACAAGTTATTGTGAAAAAAGTCGAATATTTGATCAAATATTTTTGTTTAGAAGTTCCGGGTCAGTCTTCTTGATTTTTTTGAGAATCGGAAATTTTTTAACTTGGAAAAAATCGAGAAAGTTTCGAAAGACGATACAATGAAAAATTCTCGCGAATATCTCATTTCCTGGTGAAATAGTATTTCATATGACGCAGGTATAGCCGGCCGAGACAATACAAAACTTGTCCACTTATTGAATGTTTCCATTTTTCATATTTCTTTATACTTTTTTTCAGTTTCAAAGAACGTGGTGCCCGGTACGCCATGATGATGCTCACCAACGAAGAAAGGCGTCACGGGGTGGTGGCAGCTTCTCTGGGTAACCATGCGCAAGCTGTAAGCTACCATGGCTACCAGCTGGGCATCCCCGTCACGGTGGTGATGCCGACCATAGCGCCCATCATGAAAATCCAAAAGTAAGATACGGCAGAGGGTGTTGCGTTTTGGGTTTTGCTGTGAAAAACCTGAATTTTTCTTCTATTATTTATGAAATTTGTCGACTCTTTCACTAAGGTATTCAGGACGCAGAATCGATCGCAGATACAGGGTGGGGCATATAGGAACCATCAAGTGTCTTTGGTTTGGGTAGTACTCGGCTCTATTCCTCGAATTAATTTCACTTCCTCAATCATGAAGCGTTGGACGCTAGAGCAACGCGTGTTCGTTATTGTTATTTCACAAACACATGATTTCTATGCCCTTCTTTTATAAGTATGCAAGAAAATAGTAGATGAAGCAAACAATCTAGGTGTACTTATGGATACCAATTTGAGATTTGAAAAGTATGTGATACGATTAATCCAACGAGCCTACGATACTCTCAAAATAATTTATATGGTAACCGAAACTTTCTTCCATTTCACGTGAAGAAATCCTTCCATCCATCTTGTCTGTATTCAATTATGCCGATGTACTTTATGGCCAGAATATAACTACATACTACTAGAAAGATTAGAAAAGTGCAAAATTCGTGTTTACGATTGATTTATGGAATACGTAGACCACAAAGAACATCACATAAACTTCGGGAATCCAGCGAGCACAAACATCCCTGGGATGTTTAGGGATGTTTTGAAAATGTTGGCATGAAGATGTTATTTTGAGACGTAATATGCACTGACCAAAGAGGTCTCTGAAGGATATTGAAGTATTGTTTTTGTTCTTCTGTGGCATTTCTTTGTTTGCCTACTGAGAGGTATCCCTGGAATGTTTTGGGATGTTTTAGAAATGTAGGCATGAGGATGTTTTATTGAGGCGTAATATGCACTTCCCAAAGAGGTCTTCGAAGGATATTGAAAGTGTTGTTTTTGTTCTTTTGTGCCCTTTCTTTGTTTGTCCCACCACAAAGTCTCATGCTTACGTCACAATACGATGAATTCTGATTTGTTTTCGATTTTGTTCTTCTTGTTCGCAATTGGCATTCGCGTTTGCAGCGTGTCACGCTTACATCACGCTGCTAACGACCAGAAAGGAATTTGGTGAAGTTTATTGTGTTAGAAGACTTATTTATTTAGTTTGTAATAATGACCATCAGATGCAAGATGTGTTGTTCGGTGCCTCAGTGTAATCAATATATAAAAGTACGAATTTATCAATACACAGCTTGTCCGCAGTTGCAAAATTATGCATTGTGGAGAACATTTCAAAAATTGGGAAACCTATTTCCAATTATATGTCTGTGTGTAGTAAGCACTACTTAGAAACCGATTAAGAAGGTAATTTCATATCAAGAAAATATTTTTATGTTCAATCTATTTTTAATGCATTTTTTCATTCAAGGGAAATGGAATCCTAATGCAAAAGTTCATTTTGACTAAAGGCTTCAGAAAATTACCTCGAAAATGTTTTTTTACAGCGATTTAATGTGCGCAAGACGCGTTGAAAATGTTTTGTTGTGTCCATGAAAAGGTTTCAAAAAGAACTAGGGAGAAGGTAGTTTTGTGGCATATCAAGGACATCTCGATAATTGCCGCTTGCGGTGGACATTGGCTGTTCTATAATAGTTCTATTCATGTGTGAACAGAACATCGCAGTGGAGGTTCAATGTATCGAAATCTCGTACTTTTAACATCTCTGAGATGTTTTTGTGCTCGCTGGAAATCGGTTGGTTTCATATGGAAAATAGAAGGAAACATATATCACGCATTGTGTCTATTCCATGAAATCAATAAAACAGAAACACCGCCGTATCTTCACCGGAAAATAATATATCGTATTGATGTACACAATTTGAATATTAGACGTAAAGGAAGTGCTCACAATATCTATATTCAGAACAGAACTATACAGACGGTCGTTCAAATATCAAATTTTCAGCATGTACAACTCTACCAGAAACATTTTTGAAGCTCTGAATTCGAACAAATTCAAATCAACAACGAAAAACTATTTGTTCAACACCCAGATTTAATAAAACAAATATTCGATCTTGCAACAAGTGTAAGAAAGACTTCCTATTCTCCTAACCAAAGCTTCTGAGAATTCCAATACAAGACTGTAAGTGAGTTATTGTACAGGGTGGGGCATAGAAATGAAGTCTTTGTGAAATAACAATAACGAACACGCGTTGCTCTAACATCCACCGCTTCATGATGGCAAATGGCGTCCTGCCCTTTTCTAATGGCCGAGTATTACCCAAACCAAATTCCCTCGATTCTTATGCTCCACCCTGAATTATGTATCTCGATAATAAAATAGAGGGAGATGCATAAAAAGTGCACAACAATTTGTTTGCAGTAATTTTTTTTTGCATTCAATTTTTCTTTTTATTTGTCAGGTGCAGAGAGTACAATGCGAAAGTGATAATGGAAGGCAAGGACATGAACGAAGCTATAAAGAGAGCAGGCCAACTGGCCAAAGAACACGGTTGGGTGTATATAAATGGGTGAGTATAAGTACACCATTGTTAAACAATTACATGTAAATTCTGGTTCTACCAACGGAACTCTTTTGGAGGAAGGAATAAGGAACCATCAGGGACATGTTTCGGTCTTAGAAAAGACCATCTTCAGCCTAATCAACTTCGAGCTTTCCTTCCTTCTTTTCCAAGACAGCACTGGATGTTCCTGGAATATTCTCTAAATATGCTAAAAAAGAGGAATATATTCCGAATATCTGCTGAATATTCAAAGAATATATACATGCCTCTGGAACATCCAAGGAATATTCCAATGTAAAACATCCTATTTTTTTATATTTTTTTCGGAATCTATGAATTTTTGTGATCCCGAGAATATATATACAGGGTGATAACTTCTATTCTAACCACTCTTTTGAGTCTAGAAAAACATGTTTGTCTGATTAATTGGTGTTTCACTCGATCAGTTTGTTTTCCATAATGATGCAATATACAACTGTCAAATTTATCCTCATTCATGGCAAACACGATATATGCGTGGAAGCCAACACACAAAAATGTTTTTCTAAGTTGGAAAAAGTGGTGAAAACGAATTGAAAAACAGGGTGTTCTTTTTAAAAAAATAATGTATGGTTTGTCATGCTTTCAGGAATAACCCTGTAAAACTTTTGATGAGGGCTGTGTGTCCTTGCGATTCAACTTCCGCATATTGTTTTTTTTTCTCGATAAGATAATAAGGTACAAGTATGGGGGTGGGCCTTTCGGATGGATAAACCTGTACAATATACCGGGTGTTTCTCAAAAGTGGCTCACCCCTAGAACTTTTTTGTTTCTATGTAAATTCGGTGTGTGGGTATAGTACATAAATATGCATTATTTGACGTATTCAATTGTTCTTTGTCACTTCCGGTTTGACCAGAAACAGACCATTATTTCTTATTTGGAATGGGACACCCTATATATTTTTACTTATTTCGATAGATAATAACATTGTGAGGACAATGACGCCTCATTTGCCACTTTTTGACATTAAGCATCCTGAAATTTTCCTTTTACAATTTTCAATCTCTAGAGTGATTATGATACTGTATATTGATTCAAAATATCGATTATGTGGTATCAACCTTTTCGTAACAAAATAACCTTTTCAAATATGGTAATGAGATACACTCTTGTTCTATTTGAAGAAAAATAATTAACATTATAATCACGATATTGAAATTTTCAATAAACCTGTGAAACAAATAAAAAGTAAAACTTAATCAAAACTATTTTTCCTGTGTTCTAACTCATTCATAGCACTCTAGATTGAGAATTGAAAAACTTCAGGATGATAATAAATGATAATAAATCAACATTTCAGTATGATAAATGTCAGAAAGTGGAAAATGAGGTGTCATTGTCCTCTCAATGTTATTCTCTATCGAAATAAGTAAAGATATACTGGGTTTCCCATTTAAAATAAGAAAATATGTGTCATTTCTGGTCAAACCGGAAGTGACCGAAAACAACTGAATACGTCAATTAATGCATATTTATGTACTATACTCACAGACCGAATTTCATTTGTTTTTCTGTATAGACAAGAAAGTTATAGGAGTGAGCCACTTTTGAGGAACACCCGGTATACGATTATTGGTCTAGTGCTTATAAGGCGTTTTCTGGAAGTCACGGGTTCGAGCCGTTACCCCCGACGTTCGATCCCATCTTCGGTTACTTTTTTCATTCTAGAATATGTTTATTGGAATGTTCCAGGAACATTCACTTATTCATATTTCTGGATTATCCCTGGTATATTCCTAGAATATATTTTTGAGATCCATGGAATATTTCCCTGGACATATTCTATGAATATCTTCCAAAAGGAATATGATAGGGAGATTCATGGAATATCTGGTGCTGCCTGAGTTGAAACATTCCACTGCACTTTGAGCAATATTATGGACCTTGACCAAAGATGGCTCTCTTTTTAGTTATGACAATCCGCAGGTGATCGCCGGCCAAGGGACGGTCGGCCTCGAGATCATGGAACAAGTGAAGAACATCGATGCGGTCATAGTGCCCACGGGGGGTGGGGGATTGCTGGCGGGGGTGGCGGTGGCGATCAAAACATTGGATCCCTCCATCAAAGTGATCGTGAGTGGGAAATTTCGTTGTGTTGACTATTTTCATTCATCACATAATCTTTTTATGCTTCGGGAACGTCGGAATAGTCCAGTAAAATACCACTCTGTTCTGAAAATATTGTTGTAACACTATCTTTCATTGTTAGTGACAGAATTATCTCGAATATTCAGGTCATCGGGATATCACTTTATGAAAATTTCGCTATTAGAAATCTGAAAAAGAATAAATTTGATTGATATATAGTCAATGAGACCTTGTCTGAAAAAACTTTGAAGGAGAAGAATATAGTTTAATTAGGAAATATCAGATTTTCACTTAGCTTTGGACGTTTTGATAACGAGTCTATTTCCGTTTCAACAAGAAAATGAAAAAATATTCGTGATAAATTGCCTGTTTTTCTCTATATTTACACTTCTCAGTATCAGGAGTTAACAAAAAAAAGTGAATTAAATTCATCTTGCAATAATAATTTTCAAAAAAAAATACAGTGAGGACCAATTTCCTAATTTTATGAATTACAAATGAAAAATGTTAAATAAATAAGTTGTAGTGTTTCATCCGATCTATTCAATGGTTTGAGTCATTTATACAGAGTGTCTCAAAAAACCGCAGCGACTTGAAAGTTTATTTCGTTAATTTTATTATATTGCATTATTAGATTCTACGTTGAATTTCGAGTTCTCAGAACTCAATATTAATTAATGAAAACATCCTGTAACTCATTTGATTGCCAACGTCACCAATTGTCACTGAGAACTGAGAAGTGTCAAGACGAATACAAATTTGCTATACAAATATAGGTACCATTTTAATCTTTATTTGGAAATTTCTCGAAATGTATGCATCTGACAAAAAAAAATTGCCGAATAAAAGTTGTATGGTTTGGAGGGGGACGTCTGGTTATAAAACAAGTTTCACCCCCTGACCCCCAGGGGAGTGGGAAATGGAGGTAACATTGAAATCTTTAATGGAAACCCCTATTTTTTATTGCTGATTCTGGAAGAGCATTAAAAACTATGAAGCTTTTATTCGGGAACTTCTTTTTTATTTTCACAAGATGGCGCTGCGATCTTGAAAAACAATATTTTACTATTTAGTTTGTAGTTGGCCACCCAGATCACCCGACTTGACTTCCCCAGACCACACGCGAGAATATGAAAGATAGAATTAGAGGAGCGTGCATGGCTTTAACGCCTGCTATGTTTTAAGCGACAGTGCGGAATTTTGAAAAACGAGTGAACTTTGTGTATTCAAGAAAATGGAGGTCATTTCGAACACTTGATAAAGTAGTCAATCTCACTTAAAACCAGCTTTAGTCTGACCTAAATGATACCTTAATTGCTGAACCATGCTTATTTTTCTCTTTTCTATGTAGAGGTGTCAAGGTGAGTAAGTTCGTTTAGCGTTAATTTGTCGTGTGATCTTCATAGTTTTTAATGCTCTTCCAGAATCTGCAATAAATAATAGGGGTTTCCATTGAAGATTTCAATGTTACCTCCATTTCTTACTCCCCTGGGGGTCAGGGGGTGAAACTTGTTTCATAACCAGACGTCCCCCTCCAAACCATACAACTTTTATTCGTCAATTTTTTTGTCAGATGCATACGACATTTCGAGAAATTTCCAAATAAAGATTAAAATGGGACACCCGGTATATCCATTTTTCATGTTGAAAACGTGAGCAGATTCGTTCCCGATACGTGAAAATTTGATATTTTGTCTATATATCCCAAAAAGTCTGGAATAATGAATGAAGGTGAAACAATTACTGGAGTGTTTTTTTTCCAATTTTTGTAGGGCGTTGAATCAGAAAGGTGTGCGAGTTTTGCCAATGCCATAGAACACGAAGCACCAACTTACACGGATATCGGTGGTACTTTGGCCGATGGGTTGGCAGTACCGAAAATTGGGTACAATGCATGGATCACGAGTAGAAATCTAGTAGATAGAATGGTGAGATTTTGAAAAATATACCACCAATATCACAATTGAGAATGGGAAATCTCTACACAGATAGTAAACACAAAAATAATTAGATTTAGCCCAATATGCCTCATGAGATACAGGGTGTTCTAGGGGGAGATTTTATTTCAAACTTTCACAATAACTTTGTTAGTTTCAACAGCATGAACATGAAATCTTGTATTTCTAGGTTTTCTGGCATGAGTGATATGAATTTGCAACTTATTTTGTGATTGCTCATAGAAGGCGATAGTGGCACTCTGTTACTTCGATAATTTACATCATATCTTCTATGTCAATTCATTGATGATCAAAATAAGTGGAAAATCTGAAAGCTCGTCCAATTTATTCACATGAAAAATGTACTCTTTATCAAACTGTCTAGCTTCAACGGTTTTTGTGTTATTTGCTCTTGAAGAGATTCATTTTCCACTTTTGACATTTTAATAATTTTATTTATTAAATTAAAAATGGACAATCTCTGAAGTACAGATCCACCTTGGTTTTTCATATACGAGGGAAGTGTAAAAACGACTAAATGATGAAGTGCTTTAATTTTTCCAAATTGTCAAAACATTAATGTTTCTATACACACGACCTTATTTCAATACTGAAGACAAGTACTTTTTGCAAAACGTTATTAATTTTGACTAGCTGTTTTCACGTTTTTCAGGGAGGAGTTTCGAATTGAAATGAACAAATGGAGATTTTGGAATTATTTTCAGATAACTGTGAAGGAAGAATGGATAGCAGTCGCGATACTGCGGTTCATTGAGAACGAAAAATGTGTGGTAGAGGGTGCGGGAGCTACTGGTTTGGCAGCCATTTTAGCCGGACAATTGGACGAATTCAAAGGCAAAAGGTAAAAAAATATATAAATATCAAATCTATTTTTTTTTTCAATAATAATGTTCCGCGTGATTTTTTGCGTCAAATGAGCGATTGTACATTTTTCTCTGTGATTTTTTTCTATTCATATCGGAAACAAGATATTGTCTCGCTGATAGATCCTAAGGAAGGAATATACGTCTCTACCATGCTTCTGAACAACCCAACTATAACTCGGCGTAAATATACACATTTTTCCTGTATCACGAAGTTTTGGATGATGCCTCAATGGGGAAATCTTTTTGTGTACTGACGAAACTAAAATGCGATTTTTCAGACTCTGTTGCCGAGTTGATATTCATATTATTGATAAGAAAAAAAATGGAAAATGTGTGACATGGTCAATAAAAGAGAGAGAGGCCATGTAACAGTTTTGAAAAATGTCTATAAAGTTTTAGAAACAAAAATTGAAATTATGTGATTTTCTATTCCCCCTCCAGGTGGGTAGAATAGAATAAATAATTGTTTTAGAACGTTATTCGTATGTAAACCGTCTCGGAGGTGAATGAAAACAAGTTTATTAGATAATTGAGGTCAGTGGATTCTTCTCAACAACTGCTCCATACTTGTTTCTATTCGCTCCTAAGTTTCTATTCACTCTGTTTTACGGTACTGCTGCTGCACTTCTGGCGACACTCACTATAAATCAAGAGTATGAGCATGTAAACAAAAGTTCATTATTTTCGTAAACGTGGTATTTGCCTACATTGTTTGAAAATGCACAAAAAAACAATTGAGAACGAGGATCTGACAACTATAGCACTCATAGGGAATTCTATTCAATATGTGCACACACAGCTAGTATATCATATACAGGGTGGTCCGTTTTTTAATACGGAAAATTTAACAGCGTCTAGTACTCGTTGAAATAATAAATAAACTTCCTATGAACATATACTTTTGAACGCTTCGTTTTCGAGATATAGGGTGTTCAAGTTCGCAACACTTTATGTAAAAAGTCGTTAATGTTGTCAACTTTAAGATAAATTCCGAATAAGACACTCTCTTCTCAGGATCTTCAGGATGTGAATATTGTACCAGCATCAAATGAAAAGGCTTCCTGTGATCTAAATGTAGTGTTCGTAAAATTTTCGATTTCGAAACCTGAAAAAAAGTCGGAACTATTACTTTTATTTATGCGTGCAATAGTATATATAAACTGATAACTAGTATTAAACGAATAAAGAGAACCAAAATACTAAAAGCATGACATGATATTAGTTTATAAATTACCAGTAACTGTTGAGCTGCTTTTCTAGAACTGATTTGTTGGTTAACATAAAAAAATCTAAGAATGTGATTGTTATCATTTCTTCTCAGTGGGCCATTATTTCGGTATTGTTCATTATTGCCACGTAACCCAAACTGACGGAAACGTGAGTGAGTATTGATAAAGACTCGTGCATTAGGTACCCTTCTCCTAGGGAAGCGATTTTCTGTATTCCCGAACTGCAGCCTCTGCGTTTCCATTACAAAATCCGTAAACGAAATGAATATCTTTATACTCTTCAGTACTAAATCCCATAGGCATATTGACAAACGGCAAAATTGGAATGAAATTATTACACTTTTTGATAAAAACACGGAATAACTCCAGTTTGTTATTTCTTTGACAGAACTTTCAGATATGTGGACTCCTATTAATTGACTTAAGAAAGGCATTTGATACTGTAAATCAAGAAATTCTCTTGAATGAATTGTATTGTATTGGTCTAAGAGGTCCTGTCTACGACTGGTTTCAAAATTATTTGAGTGATAGGAAACAATTCGTATATTTAAGAGAATCATTCAGTAAGAGCGATGAAATAGTATGCGGTGTACCGCAAGGATCAGTATTGGGCCCTATTCTATTTCTCATTTATATCAACTCTATTGCAAATTTGAAGTTGAATGGTAAAATTTATATGTTTGCCGATGACACAACCTTAATCTATTCAGCAGGTTCAGCAAAACAAATTAGGGATGATATTTCAAGTGATTTGAAAATATTATTATCATGGTTATCATGTTATAAATTGAGCATAAATTATAGTAAATCAGCATTTTTGATAATTTCAAAAAAATTAAGATATAATGAGTACAAATTTCCAATTGCATGTAATAATGAAGTCATCAAATATTCAAATTATATCAAGTTTCTTGGTCTGTACATAGATGAACATTTGTCATGGTCAAAACATATTGAAATACTTAGGAAAAAAATATCTCCAATAATAGGTATACTTTTTAGGGTACGGAACCAAGTTCCTATAAAATGTCTCAAATCTATATACTTCTCTTTGATCTATTCTAAACTTGAATATTTGATTTCTGTATGGGGTTCAACAAAACTATCAATTATAAAGCCTCTCAAAACTCTTCAAAATAAAATTATCAAATGTATATACAGACTAAATTATTCGGAACCTACTATGAACCTTTACAGAAGAAGAGAATTATTAGATATAGATTCACTATATAAACTCAAATTGATGTCGTTCATTCATTCAGTTAAGTTGATTCTTGGGAATAATAAAGTTGATTGATTGATCGATTGATTGATTGATATAAACAGTGAACAGTGGGCAACTGAGCATAGCCTACTTCTTTATTGATATCAAGTAGTATTATTTAACTAAAAAATGTTATGACTTCATAGGAAGTTTTTTCATTATTTCAACGAGTACTATACGCTGTTAAATTTTCCGTATTAAAATACGGACCACCCTATAAAATTGAATACTTCGATACTGAAGGTTACAAAATGTGGGGATTTAAATGACAGTAATATTATCTCAATAAGTAGCAGCTGTGCAGATGTTTATGTGGTACTACACTTCAATTCGAGCACGGTTTTTTGCGTTCTCATTTTACATATGTCCCGTTCTCCATAACATCAGGGTAGTGCTGATCCTGAGCGGCGGCAACATCGACACCACCATCCTGGGCAGGTGCCTCGAACGGGGCTTGGCGGCCGACGGGCGGCTGGTCAAGGTCAAGGTGACCGTCAGCGACCGCCCGGGCGGCATCTCGGAGCTGTGCAAGATCATCAGCTCGATCGGCGTGTCCATCAAGGACGTGATACACGAGCGGGCGTGGATGGTCTCGGACGTGTTCAGCGTCGAGGTGAGTTGATGTACAGGGTGATTGTTTATATTTTATTCGATAGCTATCTCTGTTGATATTGGTCTTACATCAGAAACTTTTAAAAGGGCAGATATGAAGTATGTTTGATGGGTATTCAGAATCATCAAGCATACTGGAAAATACAAAAAAAAAACATCGTAAACCTACAAATTTTACATAAACTGTAATTTTTTTAATGGAATTTTCTGTATTTTATTTTCCTTACCGGTAGAGCTCTTTCATCATTTTTGGTGTGAAATTGAATGATGTTCAAGTTCACATCAAATTTGGGTTGAAAAATCTAACCTCAGAAAAATTATGTTCAAAACTACTCGGTACGAACCGTGTAACTAGCGCCCTCTCTATGAGAGTCAGATATAAAAACAAATTCATGCGATGTGTCAGATTCCAAGTAACATCCATACAAAATTTCATCACAATGTTGCCAGTAGTTTTGACATAATCGTAAAAAATGTGTAAAAAAATCATTTTCCCAACACCTTGTATCATGAAAACGGATGCCGTTACGACATTTTTTCACTGAGCAAATCCAACTTATTTTGCAGCGTTCTACCTACCCTAGCAAGAGGGTCAGGTTTTTTTTTAAACACCCTGTATACAGAAGTGATTCAGATTTTAAGGTACAAACTGAAGGTGATAGATCTCATCATTTTAATCAGAAATGTTTTCATAAACAATAGTCCGATCTCAATCAGTGGCGGGGTTACAGAGGGGGCCAAAGATTAATTATTATTTTCTATCAATTAAAATATCTCGCTCACTTTTGAAGATATCTATTTGAAATTTGGTGTGGTTCATACTCCCTAAAAGGTCATAATTTTAAGCATTTTAAATATTTTTAATATCAACAGGGTTATACGTTTTTGAGGGTGGAGGCTTTTTTTATCCCTCTCAAACTTTTTCGTAGCACACCTCTGACATCTTCCACTTACCAAATTGGGTGGTTCCTTCAATTTGAGAGGCTCTTTTCGCTCCCTAATTTTCTTCCAGAAACTAACGGTTTTTGAGATAAATTAGCGAATCTTTCCTAAAACATGTTCATTCCGCGTGTTCCGCTCAAATTATCAAATTACAGAGTGGGTTTGAAATCATGAAGTGAATATTTATAAATTCAAAAAACAGATAGATATTCATTTTAAGAGCTTATTAAACTCTAGGGTGTTACGATTTTGAAAATTTCCAAAAGTATAGTAGAATGTATGCATGCATGCGCATGCACCGTTTAACATTTAACCAACTTTGAAAACTGAAAAAATCTTGACCTTCTACCCTCCGTATCCCTCCCCCCGCTACAAAATTAACATATTTTAGAAAGGGTATGCTTATATTTATCTCATATACGGTTCTTGTAGAACAAAAAAAGCCTCTAAATTGAACGAACCACCCAATTTCGGTAACTATAAAAGAGGCGTGCTACGAAAAAGTTTGGAAGGGATAAAGAATAAGCCTGCCTCCAAAAACGTATAACCCTGTAAATATTAAAAATCTTTAAAATGCTCAAAATGATGATCTTCTAGGATGTATTCACCACACCAAATTTCAATCGATATCTTCAAAAGTGAGCAAGATATTCTAATAAATATAAAAATATAATTAAACTTTGACCCCCTGTAACTCCGCCACTGATCGGGATCGGATTGATGTTTATGTGAACTTTTTTGATTACAATGCTGCGATCTATTACCCATTATTTCAGTTTGTACCTGGGGGTATATTATAACCGAAAATGCATGCACTCTTTATACAAAAATATTCAAAAATATTGTGATTCTTTATGATTCAAACTATTTGAAGTTAAAATCAATGAAATTGTGCAAATAAAAGAATATGCCTTAACTAATCCTTTTTTTTTAGGTGAAGGTAGTGTGTGAGACTAGGGGCTACAGTCACAGTATAGAATTGCGAGATTTATTGCAATCCAAATATCGCCAAGTTCAATTTGATACACTGTCCATAAATGAAATGGTCTCATCAACAACCAATGGCATGTGAAAAATATTTTTAATAATATATAAGTAATACTAATTGTCAACCAAAACATATTCTTATGAATTTACCAACAGCTGGTAAAAAATTACATGGCTGTCCAAAAGAATAGTTGAAACTGATAGAACTTTGTGGATCTGAGAATTATCCATGTGATTTTATACCTATTAAAAATTAAATTAAATGTCTTTAACCATCAATCAATAGTCTAATGATGGTTGTGAGTATTTTTATTGTTCATTCTGTTATTTTATAGAATGATTTTATTTTTAAAATTTTTGTTAACCTGATATTACTATATTCAAATATCATTTGAATGAACTAGATTATATTAATGTAGTGACATTCAATGCCATATATAGGGGTTCACTATATTTTTGAATAATATATGTTTGTGGCAAGGGATAAAAATCCTATTTCAACTATAATTCATCACTTCATTCAACTTATTGTATTTCATTCATAAAAAAAAACAATGTGTAAAGCCAACAATAAAAAACATACATAAACATATGGACCTATCATTTTTCTTATAAATATTGGATAGATGTAACCTAATTATATTAAATGTTTTTTTCATTTTTTTTTGTGAGATTCAAACCTATAAACCCATTCTATTGTTGGATTCCTCTGAATAGCTCTTCCATAAAATTGGCCAGTTTAACATCTCTTCCACTCAAACCACTGACATCATGAGAAGACAGAGTTACTTGTACTTTATTGTAAACATTGAACCATTCAGGGTGGTGGTCCATTTTTTCAGCAAGCAAAGCAACTCTGGACATGAAACCAAAAGCCTAAGATATAATGATAAAGTTAGATGAGTTGTTGAATGGAAACAAAGTGCTTCAAGTCTACTTACCTGATTGAAATCTTTGAATAGGAACTCCTTGTAAATAGCATCTCGATTTTCTACCAAACTCCAACCCTTGCCAAGAATAGCAGCAAGGGTTGTGTTACGTTCTTCGGGGGTTAGTTTGGTGTGCTAGAAACAAAAATATCAAACTAAAATTCACTTTCTTTCATGGAGTTTTATCCCTTACCATTTTTCCTTTTACTTTGACTGCTGTTAGAGATGAACTGTTCAAGTTACGGTGAGTTGGTAAAAAGTGAAAGTTCGATCTAGATCTATATTCTGAGGAGCTTTGGGCGTTGCATTCAATAAATCTGGCTTTCCTGGCAAGATTACCAGCGGCTATTCGACAAGCCGCAGAGGTCATCAAGGTTTTGATTACTTGAAACGGTTTCAGATAATCAAGAAGTTAATTTTAGAATGAATATTGAATATTTACATCATTATTTATCTTGTTTATAATTATAAATTTTAAAAAAATCATTAAACTTTTCGGAAAATTACGTATTCTTCTCAATTATCATTATTTTTAACAATTTGCACTTTAGCCTTTTCAGACATAACCATCAACGGCACTACCAAACCAAGGTTTCAACCAAACTTATCACCACTTACTATCGGAAATTAGCCTGCTCAACCCTGTGCTCTTGTAACATTCAATCATTAGTATCCTTTGCCAGCTAACGATCCGTGATGCGACTGATGCGAGATTGTTTTTGTTTGACTTCTAAGAGTTCCATGTTCTGTGATTTGACGATCAACGTCAAATATTAGTATTGTGATTTGTGGAAGATTTAAATTTTTTTTAAATCTCTGAATTTTACTTTCCTGATGGCCGAACAATGTTTGGCTCCTTGTGCGGGGTTACCAATGGCAAACATGACAGCATCACAGCCCCAAGGGCCCCAACAACAGAGTGATAATTCTAATTCCCTCTCACCTTTATCAGATGAATTCGATAATATTGATGTGGGTAGTTGAAGCAATTCTTTGAATCTCGAAATAACGTTTTTTTATCCATAGGCTTTGGAAGACATCGAAGATCCGTTTTGTACCCCAGCATCCCCAGTGAAAGTACTTTTTGAAGACGTAGTCACTGCAGCTGAGAGAATCAGTGATGGAATAGTCAAGACCCCTTGCAATGTAAGTACCTTATTCCTCCTGTGCTGTCTGGAACCTTTTGCAATCTTGTCATGTTACAGAAATCTTATCGTCTAACAAATTTGGCGATCATGGACGTTTATTTGAAATGTGATTTCCAACAAAGAAGTGGAAGGTACCTAGTGAATATATGAAATACCCTAGAGTTTTTTGAGGTTGGTTCTTTAGTTTCAAGGAAAGGGGCGCCCGCAACTTCATGCTGTTGATGAGCCCTGAACAAAGGGCCAAGGGGGTTGTGGCAGCCTCTGCAGGCAACCACGCTCAGGCCGTCTCGTACCATGGGGCCCAGCTGGGCATTCCCGTGACGGTGGTGATGCCCATAATATCGCCCATCATGAAGGTGCAGAAGTGCAAAGAGTATGGTGCCAGAGTGGTGGTCAAGGGGAAGGATATGGGTGAGGCCAAGAAGATTGGGTTGAATATTGCCAAGAGGGATGGCAGTTTGTACCTGAATGGGTGAGTGAGAGAGATATCTAGTTGTGTTTATTTTTGGTTCAGTTCAGTTATTGATGAAATGCTAGGGAAGTTCAACTTCAACTAGTGTAGAGATAAATTACCAGAAATGATTTTTATATTGAGGTTAAAAGAGTCTTCTTATATTTTTTTTATTCAACTTGCAATGTATGGATGTATGTATGTTGGGGTGGAATCTTTGAACTCATTTTTTAAGTAGATATCCCCAACCGATTGAGCTGAAATTTAGTATACACGTTCAGTTTGGATGACAATGCACGATAAGGTGTGTGAAGTTATTCTAAATCCAATATGGCGGACCATCCATGATGGCGGAATTGTTATTTTCAATGCACTTCTACAATATGAGTTTCAAATGAAAGGGCTCCTTGGGAGTAACTGGAAGAATAATGTGTTGTCATTCTGAATTCAATATGGCGGACTATCCAAGATGGCGGAATAATTATTTTCAATGCACTTCTACAATATGGGTATCAAATGAAAGGGCTGGTTGAGATTAAATCAAAAAATAATGTGACGTCATTCTGAATCCAATATGGCGGAATAGTTATTTTTAATCTACTTTTACAATATGGATATCAAATGGAACTGCTCGTTCAGACTAACTGGAAAAATGATGTAGCGCTATTCTAAATCCTTCCAAGATGGCGGAATAGTTGTTATTCATGTACTTATGCAATATGGGTATCAAATGAAAGGGCTTATTGCCGAGAATTATTAGAAATAATGTCGTAACATCACTCTAAATCCAATATGGCACACTGAGTCAGTGCAATTTCCAGCAAAATATTAACATGGACCCGCGGAACGAAGAATACTGCCAATTGTATTATGATGGGTTTGTACAGTACACAAAATATGTAAGGTAGTGCTGTCGACTACGCCCTTATTTACTTAGGCTCGAAGCTCTCCCGGTCAAGCATGCATGGCTTTAAGTAGGGTAAAATCATTAGAAGGTCTCCTTATTGAAGAGCTGTGCTGTTCAAAATGAACCGGCAAACGACCTTGCAACAATGATGTTAAATGAACAGACTGAGAAACCTAGCCAACGATAACTACAGATTGAAAAATAAATTAAAAGTAAAAACAAATGTTCAATAAAAAGCTTTTATTTAAAAGCTCTAAAAATAATAAATTAAAATGTTCCTTTATAATTTCAACTATTTATCAACCTATAACCTCATTATACACAATTTATATGGTCATGAAAGCTTGTTGTGATGAATAATATTTATTTGAATTGAAATTTTAAAAATTTGAACTCAGCAAATTTTACAAAATTAAATTAGTTCTAGTTTATTCAAGTAAATCACGGGATAAGCTTTTATGAAAATATTGAAAACTCTAGTTTTCTTCCAAGTAACATATTTTTTAATGAAGTTATTCCGAATACAACTTAAACTATATCTTTGCAAACCCTCCAACCAAAGCTGAAACTTTCTCCAAGAAGAATTTCAGATTTCCTTATACATCACTTAATCAAAACACCTTTGTCTATAGAACGGCAAAACTCTGGAATTCATTGCCTGAGGAAGTATACTTCCAAGAACTAATAATCCCCAGAAGTTCAAAACAAATTCCAATACCTACCTCCTCTCCCTATCCCCACTAAATACGATGTTTTTCGAACATTATAGGGGTTTCCTTTCGTGCGCTCCAAGCAATAATATAAACATGGTGTGTTGAAAAGGTCGATAAATTAATATAATGAATAAATATTTTTTATATTAGCCATTTTGGTACAGTGTGTACATATGGTAAGTCATCTGATACAACTATCACATGGTACAATAAAACCATGTAGATCATCATATAAATAAAAATAAATTACAATCATATGTATAATCAAAACAACATAATACGATATCACAACACAAGATATATATCAAAAGTAACGATTACCAGTATAATATAATATAAAATTATCATAACATGCGTGACCATAAATAATTAAAATAATTGAACCGAAGTTATATATTACGGAACAGGTAACAATTAAGATTACAGCAGTTACAGCACACTACAAGTGACATTTAGGTAAAAAGTAAAATAATTCACACTAATGGATCATCCAAATATTCTTGATAGGAGTAGTAACCTTTTTCAATCAGCAAACATTTTAATTTGTTAAAGAATATTCTATCACATTCAGAACTTTAAATTGCCGTAGGCAGTTTGTTGTAGAAGCTCAATGCTTTGTAGATAGGAGAATTTTTGAATTTCGTAGTTTTGTGGTTTGGTAGTTTTAGGTGACCACTATGTCGTGTGTTGTAAGCATGCGAAAAAGCATTGGTATCGAAGGATTTCAAGTTGCTTCTGATGTATTTCAAACATTTCAAAATATACATGGATGCAGCAGTTAACAATTTCTCTCTTATAAATATTGGTTTGCAACTATCTCTTTAGTCCACATCAAAGATTAATCTCACGATACGTTTTTGGCCATTATTCTGCCGACATTTGTTAATTATATATCTGGGTCTGGATTGAAAACTGTAATTGTTGTGTCATCTGCAAACATGGTGATGTAGCAATCAGTTACGTGTTCAGGCAAGTCATTAACAAATAACACGAATAGTAGGAGTCCTAAGACTGACCCTTGCGGTACTCCTAACTTATCATCACGCTCGCTTGACGAAACAACGTTATTTCTGGCAGCCATACTACGTCCATGCATATATGATTTCAACCAAGTCAATAAATTATTTGGAAAAGCGAGGATTTTCAACTTAATATTTAGAAATTGGGATGACAACACGTCAAATGCCTTTGACAAGTCGAAAAACAGGCTAATTACACAATCTTGGAATCTATTTCAGAATAAACAAAATTGAAATGATGCTGTTTCAACAGAATAAGTTTTCCTAAAACCATGCTGGTTGCCACATATCAAGTTGTTGATTTCTAAAAAATTCATTGTCCTAGCAGTTACTACTTTCTCATACAACTTCCAGTGAGCAGAGTTGGGAAATTTGTCTGTAGTTGGCATCTCCTTTTTCGAATAAGGGAATTACTAGTGCCGTTTTGAACTCAGTGGGAAAATATCCGTGTATGTAGGACTGGTTCCTTAGGACATTTTATCAGATCAATTACATTCTTAATAGTAATTATAGAAAGTTCATCTATCCCAGATGAATTTTTCTGTAATCAGTCCGTTAAAAAATGGGTGAATGAATTTTTATAACTCGAAAACTACCGATCTTCGAAAGAAAGTTTTTCAAAATTTTGTGCCAAAAATATGTAAGTACCTAATATCAATGGTACATCTGTATTGAATTGTTTTTTTTTATTTTTTTCTCGAAACCCTGGTAGTGTATCAAGTATGTGGGATAGAAAGCGTCGTCCTCGTACTTGACATAGACAGATCCTTTGTCATTGACTGTGGTGTCTGCGTTTCCTTCAGGGATGACAGTATTCCCCTCTCCTGGACACATTTCCCCCACTAGTATGTCCACAGCGAACATCACCTTGTCGAAGGACCTTTTGTCCCCATAATGAGTGGCGTAGTTCGAGAAAGGACTGAACGAGACTCCTTGTCCGAACCTAAATAATAATAGGGATACTTGAAGAGAGTTTATTTTTGTCCTATTTCGTCGCCCTAGAATGAATAAGGTTCTATCTGCCTTTTTTAACAAAAATTCAGATTTTGGTATATTAGGGTTCTATCTGATGAATTCTTCATTTTGAGAGGTCACCTATCGCAATCTGTTGGAATTTAAATGAGTTAGTCATGATGCAGAGTTTTATCTACAGAATGTTCCTCTCTTAATTTGGTGTAACAACATCATAACCATAGACTACAGAAGATAAACTATAAGACAGTTCACTCGTTCATTTTTCGACTTCTAAGAGATCTCGCCGCAACCTAGCCGACCGCTGGATTCTGCCGGCTAACGACTGCCGGGGCCTTTGAAATCGCAATCTAATTAGCTGTCAACCGACCGCAACCGTTTGGCGGTGCAATGATTTATAGAAAAGCAAAAAATGCAATGTTGGGCTGTACCGACAAACGGATTTCACTAAGTGAACTATCTTCTAGAATTCAGTAATCTTTGTCATAACTACTTAATTTGATTAATCATGGTCCTATCTACATCCAGATAGAACTTTGTTTCATCAAACCAATACATATACACCCCAGCCAACATAAAGAGGTCTCAACGATATCTCGGCAACCTCCTCCCATGAAATTGTGACGCCTTTCATTACTTCTTTGTGCGGTTGCCGGGAGCACTATTTTTGCTCCAAATGACCGCCGCCGGGATATTCTCAACGAGGTCTTAGCGACATCCCACGAAGAAATTCACATGCAATAACTTCAGGCGTGTTCTCTGGCAAATTCGCATACAGAACCTTGTTCCGATAACTTTGAGAGATTCTCATCAATTCCCTAACACGAGTACATCCTAGGGACTTCCCATAGACGTCCCTGATTTTATACTAGGACATCCCAGGATGTCCTTTGTCGGGACAACGTACATACTAGGGATATCCCAGGTACATCCTTTCGACAAAAGAAAAGAGTTGCAAGTCGAGTATAGGGATTGAACCCGGGACCTTTGGCTTATCATGCACGCACCTTGCTCCATTGGCTATCATGCCTCCTGAAGATTTAGGTACTAAACAGATTTATAAACAGGACTTAACTATAGAAACCTGAATAAATACAACTTTATTAGGAATTGGGTATAATTATTATCATTCTTGGGTGTTTAAAAATGAGGGACATTATGCATGTACGATTTCTGTCTGCGAAAAATGGTAATTTCTTAAGAAGTTCTGAGACTTTATTCTTTATTTTCATTACAATCAATTTCCGGAAGAGAAACAGACATTTAAAAAAAAATTCAACTCAATAGTTTGATGAAATTCAATGACTCTGATGTGAATGGACAACCACTGCAGGACATCCCCTGGATGTCCCAATCATGTCCTTGTACCGCGAGACAAAAAAGGGACGTACCTAGAACATCCCTGTGTTGTTAGGGTTGCCACTGGTGCGATCTCCAAGCATTCGCAGAACCGAATTATTCGAGATATTCGCACACATGGTCTTGTGGCGAGTACTTCAGGATATTCGCATCAATTACTACTGACGAGGTCTGTAAGTATTCGCAATTAGGAGTAATTTAAGATATTCGCACACATAAGCTTGCGGTGCGAAATTCGGGAGATATGCGTCAATTTACTCGCAACTACGAGTGAACCAAGGAATTCACGAAGAATGCTCCTGTCGAGGTCTCTTAGAGTTCGCATCACGAACTGTTCAAGACATTCTCATGAGTATCATTTTGCGAGTTCCACGAGATATCCTTGTTTTTATTTAAGCTACCAAGGATTTTTGTGCATAGTGTAACTAGCGCCAGCTGTTTTGAATCTAGCTAAGAAGAATTTCCATTTTGTTCCAGCCAGGGAACGTAAATTGAAGCTCACGGGCTCTAGCGCCTATGAAATGGAAGCATAGATTTTTTTCTTCTGATTCAGGTTAATTTCGTAATAACTTTGGGAATTCGTTGTGGAAATGAAATCGATGAATGAGAGGTGAGGTTTGAAAGATTTGTACATGGGACTTCAAGAAGAAAATTCGCTTAGTTACAGCACATAGCGATCTTTACTACCTCACGATAAGAGTTCGCCTATGATCCTGATGTTGATCTCTCTGAGATCTCGCGGAGGAATTGTGTTACCTGGGACCCTTGTTATCCCAGTTCATCACCATTAAACATTCACAGTCATAGTGAAAAGTACATATGACTTGAAACTGATTTTTGTTCACCTTTATTTTTCATCAAGAACTTGAAAGCAGTAAATAAAAGAAGCCACACTGCATCTTAGCAGCTGAAAGTTACCGATTTCAAAGATTTCGAAAGTTGTATCAAGAAACTCCAATACAAAAATATTCCTTTCTTCAAAATTGCTGCAATGGGGGAAGGTGAACGCATTTAAAAAAATGAATGCTGCATGAACGAGACTGAACCAACTATTTCGCTGCATTCCTGAAAGATCTAAGTTGAATCAGCCATTTTGTACTTCTCAATTTCGATAATTCGAAATATACTTTTGAAAAAATTTACACGCCGCAATTTTTTTCAAAATATTACTATTATTACTACCCATACACATATACTTATATAAAGTTCTATCTACATTTTAAATGTTCGAATTAACATTTATTTGAGAATGAAGGAAGGACAAAAATCAACTGATAAAAACTTCAACCAATTTAAATATACTTAATCAGAACATAAAATCTGATCGCTTGAAATGGAACAATAGATGGAGTCAAAAGTTCACAGCACGATTCTGAGCAACGCTACTATACTAGGTCCAGATAGAACCTTATTATTCTAGAGCGACGATTTACTTGAATTTACGATATTCAATAGGAATATTGTACATTTTGAATTTAGATTTTCGTAGAATCATAAACTATAGGAATCTATATGGGGTTTTCAAGATAAGTGTGTCTATCATGGGGTAAAGGTTTCTCTGAGACGAAACGTCGTACGGAAAACCTGTCAACGTTGTTTTGTAGAGCTTAAAAAGTGGCAATGAGAATGTCTCTTTTGTTTTCCTATATCTCTTCAAATAACGTCAGAAAATAATAAAAACGATCTCCTATACATCCTTATCTTGGACACAGTGTTTACAAACCTAAAGATTTCTTGAATCTTATTTCATTATATGTGTGCAAACTAACAAGATTGGCTGTTTTATTCATTTTATCAGGAAGCAACCATTTCTTGTGATAATATATCTTTTTGAAACTTGAAAAACTAATTAATTTCTTGTATGAACAACATTATGTGTATGACAAATTACATATGGACTGTTGAATAAGTGTTCTAGGAGTATCTGATTGAAATCATGATATTCTAATATTTTTCATAAAAATTTAAACACGTGTTTCGGTAGTGTCTCAACATGCTGATGATATATTGTTATTTATTTGATAATTTGACCATCACATAATTCAACAATGGACTCAAAATTAATGTTACAAAGGCGAAATTTATGATTATATATTCGAAAGCAAATTCAAAAATGATCAAGGAAAATAAAATAAAATTCAATATTCAGATAAACGTATAAATCATTGAAGAAGTGAAAATGTTCAAGTATTTGATTGATAACCAACTGAATTTTAACAGTCATTGTGAATACATTGAAGAGAAAATTGCGCGAAAAATAGGTTTCATGTACAGGCTAGATGATAAAGTATCTCATTTCACGAAATTAACAATTCACAAGTCAATAATTTCCCCTCATATTGGTTACTGTGGTACTTTACTGAGTTTTTTGAGAAACCAACAGGTTAATACACTGCAAAAAATCCAAAATCGTGCAATGAGAGCGATCTTGGGTTGTAAAAGACGCACACTGGTCTCAACAATGCTAAACACATTGCAATTAATGAATATCAAACAAAGAGTTTCATATAATATACACTTATTTTTGTTTATAAATTGAAAAATAACATGTTGCCTTTGTATTTATCAAGTGAGCTAAATTATGTTCAGGATATGTACATTGTCACAATACCAGAAGACAAAGCAGCAAATGATTTCTATGTAAATTCAGGAAATTTTGTCTGTGATATTTCATATACAAAAGGTCTGGTATTGTTCAATAATTTGCCCTGTGAAATGAAAAGATGTGTGTCACTAGATAGTTTTAAATAATCCTGTGTGTGTTTTGTGAAAGAAAATTATTGATTGATCAATTGAGAAAGGAGAAATCTGTAAATTACCCTTATCTTAAAATATGTCATGAAATTCATGTGTCAGTGTCAGAGTTCGATTTTTTTATGTCTTATTGTATTTTATTGTAGATTTAACTGCATCACAGTCACCATTGTCTCCAAAACTTCCATTCATTATCTAGATAAAATATAAGCATGATATGCCATAGATTCCTTTGTTAATCCTTGATAATATTTTTTCAGATTCAATTGAAAACTCTGATAAAAAGTCATCATAATCAGATTTCTGGTATCATAGTGATCCAGCATTCCAATCCCTAGAATTGTTTATCATTTTTATTATCATACTTTATATTACTCATCATATATATGATATGTTTTGGAAATATATCTAAAAAGGATTGAATGTTTCCTTAGTTCCATGTACATAAATACCTACTTTTCAAAATTCATATGCATGCATTGAAATCTATGGAAGTAGATATGAACAAACAATAAATACCTGTGTCCTGTAGAATTCCCATTTTTCCTCCAGTCAAAATTAGTTTGACAAATCCCATTAGTGTTGTGCTTCATTGTACCATGATACATCTTCATAGTTTGCACATAACCTAGTCGTTTTTGATACTGTTTCTCTTTCAATTTGAATTTCAGAAACATATATGGATTGAATATTTTCTCAATATCTGTGACATTGAAGAAAATTTTATTTGTTTTCCTGAATAGGTTATTTTGTTGTTGGAAGTCCAGCGAGTAACTATCCAGTGTTTCCTTAACATAAACCTGGCCATCACCAACTTTATCTGCCCAGTCGCCTTTACCAATGCTCTGCAGAAGACTTCGTATAAGTTCTGGGTCTGGTTTGATTTCTTTGACAAAACCTCTTTGCTGTTCTGATTCCTCTATAATGTGTAAATTGGATATTCTTGTGGCCAAATATTCCCAAGTAATATCTGCTTGTCTCCTTAGTTCCTGCTGTCGTTCATATTCCTGCTGTCGCTCATATTCTTGCTGTCGCTTAAGTTCTTGCTGTCGCCTATATTCTTGCAGTTGAAGCCTATATTGTTGTTGTTGTCTTTGTTCTCTCTAAATTTGAGCAAATATTCATTTAGCAGAAATAATTCAAAATGAAGGGATCTAACCAATAAAATCAATCTAGTTATGCTATAATTCGAACAAAATATGCTGAACTCCAATAAATTTTTTGAGGAAAACTCCAGGAAATATTTTTGAAACCCCACCCACATATCCCATGAGAATCTTATTCATTATCATAATTAAGTTGGTGAAAATGTAATTACATCTACTCATTATGAATGAATGAATATTATTGCATAAAAACTTGAAAACTACAGCCTCTCAATTTCGCTGTGTATAATCAATTAATCATTATCACAGCAACAGTGGGTAAGCTGTGGTATTATGTATTGATGGTATTGTACTATTTGCATTCATATACCTACTCATTTAATAATTTTTCCATGATCAAAACAAAATGAATAAATTTATAATTGTATCGTACTCCAGTAACATATAAATATAAAAGTATTATACATATATTCAGGTAATACTCACTTCTCTAGCCTGTCTTTCCAGTTCTTCACTTTTCGATTGAAATAAACCCATGATTTTGAGAGTAGGTATTTCGTATTGATAACTTTTCACTTCCACAACCAGAATATGACAGACACGAACAACAAAACATGAAATTATTGAAATAAATATTGAAGTTAAAACATGGGATCCACCCAGATCCACCTTGCACCAAGTAAAGCGGACAATGAACAATGAATCAATGAACTCAGAACTCAGTATCTCTGTAATAGTAATGTAATGTAAATAACATTCGTATATTTGTAGTCGATGTGATTCCCCGAATCACCGAGTCACAGACATTGGTCACAGAAGACTCTTTCTTTTGAACGAAAAGTGTAGCACATACGTACACTTCGTGTGATCTACACTGTATTTGAGTATTCTTTTGACAAGTACAATCCACACCGGTGTAGTTTATCTCCACCTGGTCTTGGGCAGGTGTGACTTACACACTCAAATTCAAGAATGAAGAAAATCGCGATAAATGAATCGAAATACATATGTGATCATATTTATATTGAATATAAATCTGTACTGGGAAATCAGTAACATCAAATACCGCAATTCGGAAATCAAATTGCACTTTTCGTTGGTGTAGCTGCACGCACGAAATATCAGCTGATTCATGGTGTAGTGCATTTCACATACAGAATTTCTGAATCTGGAGACAAGGACTCCAATCAATAACACGTTTAAATCACGAAAAAAAAATGATGGAAAGAACAGTTGTGACCTGTGATTATTGTCACGCGTTTTTTTCAACACTGATGACTTCAACAATTCGCTGTATCCACAGAACTCAATCAGAGAGTGACGTCACTTCCATCAATGATGAAAATGTGTAAAATAGAACATACCTAAAAATAGGGGGATTAGATTAGACCATGAGTTACACGGGTGTTTTGCAGTGGCAGTGTCGCACAATCGTTATGTTCATAAATGTCTCTCGCCAGTCGTTCAAATAGTAGCTTGCTGCCGTGCTGTGGTAAATCTCAAAGTTATCAGAAGGTTATGAGGTATTATGCTTATGAATATTATGATGAAGGAAAATATCTTCTGCATGAAGAAGGACCCTACTTTTAACCTTACTTGGCCTAGATGAACCTCTTTCCTTAGAAGTATATTTTTCAAAAAATTGTGATGAACAAGCCAACACACGATATTTCTTACCTTCGAGTACCTTGATAGCTCAGTGGGCTGTCCAACTAACTTCCACGGCGGTGGCTCGTGTTCAATTCCCTGGGAGGAGTAATTTTTTTTTGGGTATTTTAACATTTTTTTCACCAGTAATTTTTCGTAAGAATATACATTTCAGGAAGAAGGTTCTTTTAGGCCGAGAGGTCAAAGGTAGTCTTCCTTTTCATGCAGAAACGATATTTTCCTTCCACATAATACCTTATAACCTTCGGATAGCCTTGAAATCTTCCGCAGCACGGTTGCAACCTATCATTCCAATATCTCAATTATTTTGAAATCTATTAACAAAAAACAAAAACCAAAATTCAACTTTGACACTCTGTATCTCAGAAACGGATAACTTTCGGACATATGTTTATATGAACTTTTCTTCTTGATAAGACGTCAGCAACATGCTCCTGAAATTTCTACACGTACTTAAGAAACATCCTGTACAGGAATTATGAGTAATAAAGAAAAAAACGATTTTTATTGAAACTTCGATGCCCTGTATCTTGAAAACGAAGCATTTTTGGACCTATGTTTATACGAACTTTTCGTCTTAGAATCACCCGAATAAACACTCCTTGGAGTTTGGCCACATACTTAAAAATAACACCATGTATAAACTCTTCTAGATACTCGTTTATTGAAAACTCGCTCCGCTCTGCTACGCTCGTGCTCAAAATACTCGTTACTATATAAAATGACGTTTATAATACTTGTTACATAATATTATTACATAATACTATTATTTTTCTTGATTCTAGTTTTGATCATCCGCAAGTGATAGCCGGCCAGGGCTCAGCGGCCCTGGAGCTGCTCGAGCAAGTCGGCGACGTGGACGCCGTGGTGGTGCCGATCGGGGGTGGGGGGCTGTTGGCTGGGGTGGCGGTGGCCGTCAAGGGACGCAACCCCAACGTCAAGGTCATCGTGAGTACCATTACCGAATCTTGCTAAGGAGTACGCCCTCTACCGTTGTCTAATATAACTAACGTATGGGCCATTGCCACTGCTTTGTTTACATTAGTTTGCGTGTGTTTTGCATGAGAAGTACTGAGAACTTCTATAAACGTGTAAAAACATGAACCTTATTGTTGGGTACCTCATGGTTCATCTTGAGCAAAAAAATCCCGAGTTTATATAGCTTTCATAACTTTCCAAAAACAGGACAGTCCAAATTTCTATTTAAAACTGATAATTTGGGGAACAAGGAAGTGATCGACAGGAGAAAGGTGTGGATTCATAACTTGAAGATTGGAAAAAGCGTCTGAACATAATGAGAGATTGTTTTTGACACCTCACTGAAAATTTACTCATATTTATTTTCAAATGTATGTATTTTATGAATATAATACCTACTTCTTGAGGTAATGATAAAAAACAAGAACATTTTTAAACTGATTATATCTTCACTCATCAACAGTAGAAATTTTAAACAGTAAAGAATTTTATCAATCAGGTTTTTGATGATTATGTTGTAAAAAGTCGAGTATTTGTTCACATAAGTCATGCATGAGAGACACCACTATTCTTGTTCTGAAGATTTTCATTGACACTGATATCATTCATCATGTCCTGTCTCACAAGGTCGGCTCTCCGTTTCTTCTTGGATCTAAAACATATTTGGTATTAAAATTCGAATTTTAAGTGAATTTGGAATCGGAATTAACATGGAATAAGAAACTGAAATATATATGAAAACTGTTTCAATTTCCGTTTCTGAAACGCGACATATTATTCTATTACTCAAAAAATGAGCGGAACAGATAGCCAACAATTTTCTCCTTGATGACAAACACTGTATATACCTAACCCATCAGGCACCTACCTCGGTTGCAAAGAGGATTTACCGATGCCAAGGGTTGATACTCTCCCCTCGTAAGGGTACCTGTCGTGTCTCCATCGAGACATAAAGGTGACTATCGAAAAATTTTCTATGATATATCGCCTTCCATAACAAATATAAAATTTTGAGAAATGTTCTAAATGAATTGAATATTTTACGATACAGAAATGGGAAACTCATTATCGGTCGCTCGTTTATGGTCTGGTTTCCTCCTTTGTGCAATATTTCCATTGGGCTTATATGGTCGATTTATAAAACGTTGCAGTGCTTCTTTGATTCAAAACATAGATGGTATTGAAAATGATGGAAATAAGTAGATGGTGTACTATGTACTTACTGATGCGTTTTTGTTTCAGAAATTCTTCTCGATCTCCGACCTCTCGAGAACAATGGTTTCTGCGATCTTTTAATAGATGGCGACATTTAACAATTATTTTTCGAATTTCGAGTGAAATGAACCCACTTTCACGAACCTAAAATACAATTTGCTATTTTATTTTCAATCTTCACACTCATCACAGCAGCAATAGCAGAATCACCATCTAGCGGAAAAAAGTAAATGGAACGTCTCGCTCGATCTGACGAAGAGAAATCATAGTGAGCGGTCGAGTGATTTTTCTTGAGTTTTCAATACGTAAAAATGGCCGAGTACGCACACCATCTACTTATATCCATCATTGTATTAAATCTGGAATTTTAATAAATTGGGAATCGAAGAAGAAATGGAATAAGAAACTGAAATACATATGAAAACTGCTTTCGAATTCCGTTGCTGAAATGTGACATATTCTATGTATAACTCGAAAAATGAACGAAACAGAAACCATTTTCCCCTTAAAGAAAAACACTTGTCTCGCCTGATTGCTATAGCCTCGGCTATCAATTTGCAGACTTGACTATAATAGACAGTTTTCGTCCTTGGTACATATATATAACTATTTTTGCATTTTCCCAACTTTTCAGGCTATTTTTTTTCGAATTTTGGTACTTACGTATTTTTGTCTGAAAAACACGAATTTGATAATGAAAATGTGAACAAACCATTATTTTTTTGGATATTTGACTATAAGTTACTAATTTCACCTTCTTTTTCGCCTGTCTTCTGGATGGCATTTAGAACAATTTTCCCTTCTTTTTTCATCATATTGGACAATATCACAATGTATGACAATTTTTTTTTTATATGATTCAACTATTATGATTTTCTTGAGATTTATCAACATTTAGTGAAAAGAAGGAAGAATATCATTTAAAATAATATCGTGTGTAATGTCAGTCCAAAGCAATCTATTGACATTTGACATCTCGTATTTTGATTGACTATTGATTAAATGGCCGTCATCTGGAATGCTTGTTCACTAAATATGTACCAAAAAAAATTTTCGAAAAAAAAACCATCGCATGATGAATGCAGTTTTACCGTTATTTTTCCTATACCTTTTCACAAAATGACAAATAAATTTGCAATTTGTTGAAATGATTTCTATTTATGCCCTCTGAATAAGCATATAGAAATGAAATGATGAAAGAACACTCACCTACTTGAAAAAAGGCAACAACAATGCAATCCATCCCAGCCCTTTCAACAAGATCGCAAACACCAAAACACACACACACACGAATAATAATGCACTATAAACACTCAATTGAACCATATATTCTGATTTGTAACGTGTAAATAATACTATTTCAAATCTTTCAAATCGATCGTACACAATATGAAATCTAATACAATACTGCTTGGCAGTCGACACCTGATGTCTTATTCACCATCCTAATGACTCATCAGTTACGTCATAATTCGAACCGATTATTTTCCGAACGAGAATTTTATCTCTGACTAATCACATCGAAAATAATGTATACGAGGAGTTGATAAAGCAATTCAATATACAGTGTCACCGTTAAAATTCGTCATGAGATTTTTTTTTTTCATTCACACAAGGTTTGAAAATAATGTGAAATTCCGATTGAAAAATAATAAATAAATTGAGCATTGTAGCTATTTCGTAGTTGAAAATACAGGGTGTTCGGTAAACCATTTGGATCATATTCTAGCTCAACTGGTAATAATGAACAAGTCCATAACCTATTCACGACATCTTAGAACTTGAAAATATAAATTGAATTCATATTTCCACGTTTCAAGCTAATAAGGAACGCTTAAATATTATGAGTATATCTTATCTACTGAATAGTAATTGTTATTATCGAAAAAGGCAGATTTTTGAGAGTAGTCTTTTATAGTCTACAGTACACGTTCAGTAAGTTTCGTTGATTTTAGAATGGAAATCAGCAGATTCGAGTTTAGATAAAACTAAAAGCGTTTCGTAACTGCCACCTAATAGTCCATCAAGAGGCTACATGAGTTTCAACGTGACTGATATTGGTCATTAAAATATTTCCACCCTGTAGGTTTATCGCTGTCTACCATGGTGTTGTCCTCCAATTTTTGGTCTGCCATTCAGCATAAGAATTAACAAGCTGATATATGATCAATACGCGTACACCATTCCAGTAGAAAATTGTGACTGTACCGAGTCACGTTGAAACTCAGTCTATAACAACAAACACTCGACACGTATTTTTTTTTTATTTCAGATACCTTCACTTCTATCCACTATTCACCGTATCTCCATGGAGAACCCAATTCAATGACGCCGCTACATTTTTCCTTCTCGACCATTTTTATCCATCTCTTTTCGGCCCGTCCATTTTCAGGGGGTGGAGCCGGAGCGCGCGGCCAGCTGGACGAAGGCCTCGACGATCGGCAAGCCGACAGCGACCGAGATGCTGCCGACGTTGGCCGACGGCTTGTCGGTGCCCGTCGTCGGCTACAACGCCTTCGAGACCGCCAAGGACCTCGTGGACAAAGTGGTAAGACACACTCCACACCCTGTATTGATATTCAGAAGATTGAGATTGAATTGAAAAAAATCATTCCGAAACTTTTTACACTCTTCGAAATGAATGGTTGTTTGACAATCCTGTATTGAAGTTGCAAATCAGTTCATGACATTGATAAAATCGGTCTTTTCACATGTCCTAAAAAATTGTAGTGAACGGGTAAAAGACAATCGAGAAATAATATTATCACAACAATGCCGTACACCACACTACACAACACTGATGACAACACATACTGTAAAATTCGACTGGAGTTTCGTCTATTGATTGATTGATTGTCTTTATGACCGTCAGAATGATTTCTGTTTATAATAGGGATACATGAATACATATAAAAAAGTATAATAAAATGTTGACTAATGAATTCCACTCAGTGGAAACAAATTTATATCTTTCTTAAGATGAAAGTTATAACATTTTATTTCTGAGTAATCAAATCTAGCAACATATTTTTCAAATTGTCCTGAGCAGGTTTTTTCAAGGTTGATTTTATTTTATATATATGATTTAATCTTCTTGCATCATGTATATTTTTCAACTGATTGGGTAATGAATTGTTTAAAATTATTCCATTGTGAAATACAGATTGTTTACCAATGTTCGACTTCAATATTGTCTGGTCCCATAACTATGTACTGTATCGACTTCATTAAAAGTTAAATTCAATATTTTCAATTTATTCCTTGCAAAATAAATATTAATATTTTCAACTGCTAATAGCTTCATTATATTTGCAACTTTCATCATACATTTTTGAAAGCTCCCTGTTAATCTTAGGAAAACCAACAATTATTATAATAGATGATACCTATTCGAATATTGAAAACGTCGAAACTAAATCTTGAATTAGTTTTTCTCTTTCAAATTCATTTTGAATTGGAAACCCCAGTGTGATTTTTTTTTCATTTTGAAAATTTATAATTCACATTGTATGGAGCAATTCTGGGTGAATCTGAAGAACAACACTTGAAATTTATTGAAATTGTATTAGTAAATTCATATGACTAATCCTAGTTTGCTGAAGTTGAGCTGAAATTCACTATTTTCGACTGTCTTCTAGTTTCAGGCTTTCAGCCTAACTTGGATTGAACTCGAAGATTATGTGACAAGAATTTCGATCAATTCCGACTAATACTCCTTTGATTGACCTAGAGAAAAAAGTTTTTTTAGGTGCTAGTTAATGAACAATGGATCGCTATTTCCATCTTGAGGCTGGTGGAAAATGAAAAGTGCGTAGTAGAGGGGTCCGGAGCCGCCCCATTGGCAGCTATTCTCTCCGGGCAATTGAACGAATTCAGAGGAAAAAGGTGATATGTATTACCTATACAGTATATTTGAATTTGCTAGTTATTTTTTTCAATAAGTCATTGATATGAATGAGGAAACGAATCTTTATTCATTTACTTTATCTTTTCTTTATTCATCTTTTCATTTATTTATATATTTATTCATTAATTTTTTATTTATTTGTTCATTTATTCATTCATTCGTTTCATTATTCATTCATTTATTTGTTTCATTTATTTATTCATCTATATATTCATTCGTTCTTTCGTTCTTTCGTTCTTTCGTTCTTTCGTCCTATCGTCCTATCATCCTATATCGTCCTATCGTCCTATCGTCCTATCGTCCTATCGTCCTATCGTCCTATCGTCCTATCGTCCTATCGTTCTTTCGTCCTATCGTCCTATCGTCCTATCGTCCTTTCGCTCTATCGTCCTATATCGTCCTATCGTCCTTTCGTTCTTTTGTTTATGTTTTGTAATTTCGTGGATTTTGCCTTTCTGTAAGTAATCTTCAAGCAACACCCATGCTAAATTTTTGTTGTTTCCTGAAGGAAACACCATGGAAAACTGTATCAAACGCCTTTTTTAAAGTAGGAACATTCCCATTTTTTTTTCGTCGTCATCAATATTGATTTGTTTATTGAATAGCCCAAAATCGCTCATCTGCTCTGGTGGTTAGACTTCAATTCGATCACGTCATTTTACATTTTCCTTTCTTTTCAACAGGGTGGTGCTGATCCTGAGCGGCGGCAACATCGACACCACCATCCTGGGCAGGTGCCTCGAACGGGGCTTGGCGGCCGACGGGCGGCTGGTCAAGGTCAAGGTCACCGTACGCGACAGGCCGGGCGGCATCTCGGAGCTGTTGGCGCTCATCGCCTCGGTGGGCGTGTCCGTCAAGCACGTGACGCAGGAGAGGGCGTGGGTCTTCTCTGACGTCTACAGCGTGCAGGTATGTCATGAGCTGGAAAAAAACAGCTTTTGTCAAATGAAACGAATTTAGATGAGGGTGTAAAAACTTCACAAACGATAAGATTTCCACAAAATTCTCGAAAACACGACATGTTTCGCTAACACAGTAGCTTCGTCAGGTGATATACTGGTACAATGAACTAACAATACAGTGGAGTGATTGAATGCCAAAAATTCATGCCAAAAATGCATTATCCACTCGCCCATTGCGAGGTTCTCATGTCCTATATATTTGATCAATTACCCTTATTTATACAAGTTCGTTGTTTTTCTCATTTCATTATTTTTTTTTTGTTTTTACAGGTGAAAACCATTTGCGAGACTAGAGATTACGTGAACAGTGTCGAGCTGAAGGAACTTCTGTGTTCCAAGTACGATGATGTGATGTTCGACGATTTCCCCGATAGAAGACTTTCGGTACCTTTGGTTTAGCAAGTAACTTGCCTTATCAGTGGGAGTTCTCATTGGTTCAGGTAAAAGCTATTTTCTGTTTTCAGAAAAAAATATGTTTTTTTGGCAACTGAGTCCTGTTATACAAATAAAATTAAATGAAAACCCGTTTATTCCTTCAAAAACTTATTTATTATTTTGTTATTATTCACGATATTATGATTAGAGACATCGGCAACAATTTTAAAAAACATATAATGTTCACCTCCATGTAAGTCAATTTTCGGTTTTATAACAATTTGTATATTTTCACATGCCTTTGCTTGTAGTAACTTCTAAAATACGGCTGAAGATGGACTTTTATAAGTCCGAAACATGTCCCGTTGATTGACTTCATCATTATTAAAGTTGTGGAGATGACTTTGAGCTTTCCTTCCTCCTTTTAAAAATTCCACTCCACTTTGAGCAAACATGGATTTTATTGTTTATTGAAAAACTAGCTTCCAGTCAGAAATTAAATTCTGGTATGAGGAAGATTGATTAGAAACAACAATAATAAAATAATATAAGGTGGCCAACAACAACAAAAAAAAAAAAAAAAAAAATGCTAAATCGATGTCATAAAAATAGCCAGAGATTAAATAAAATTAGTTGCAATTGATGATAATTTTCTCCTTGTCTTGAAATTTTCCAAATAATTCAAAAAATGTCCATAAGAGATAGATAGATTTTATATAATATTTTATTATTTTCAGTGACCATCTTCAAAATTAGCTGTGATAGCGAAGCACCAAGATAACCAAGAATATGAAATGAAATGTACATGCATATATATACCTATACAATATATTTTGATAATAAATATATGAAACCATTTTATGTTATTTCTTCAGAAAATCTGAATTAAGAGCTAGAGGGTTTTTCTCCGCACTAGGGCATTCCAGGAGGGTCCTGAATACAGAATTTGAAAGCCATACGAGAAAGTTGATTTTTTGGGTCTGAAAAAGAAAACATGGTAACCCATGTTTTTCAGATTTTTGAGAGGCCTCATAATGAGCTGAAAACTTGTATACTGGATGTTCTCGACGTGCTGGACACAAAAAAGAAGTCGATTTTTTTATAACTTCATTGGTTTTCCAGATACAAGAATTTCTTGAAAAATGGATGAACTGTCCTCCAAATTTGCTGAAATCGTTTCAGCACAACTCGAATTATCGTCTGCAAAAAACTACCATCAAATCGATTCTGCATTCATTACAGAGCTGAAAACTTGTATATTGGATTTTCTCGACGTGCTGAACACGAATATAAAGTCGATTTTCTCATATATATCATTAGTTTTCTATGAATAAGCATTTTTAGGAAACAAAAATATCTCACAAAAATCTCAGAAATCGTCTCAACACACTCGAATTCGTCTGCAAAACACTTCCATCAACTCGATTTTGCATTCGTTTCAGAGATTTGAAGTGAATGAAAAATTTGGTCGGAAAGGTGTCAAAAATCGATTTTTTTCTAAATTAAGGGCTAGAGGGCCGTGCTTCTACTCCGCACTAGGGCACCCCTAAAGGGTCCTAAATACCGAATTAGAGGGCCCTACGACAAAGTGGATTTTTGGGTCTGAAAATGAAACAAGGTTAACCCCTTTGAACATTTTCAGATTTTTGGCAGACTTAGGAGAGAGCTGAAAACTTGTATACAGGATGTTCTCGACGTGCTAAACACGAATATAACTTCGATTTCTCCATAACTTCATTAGTTTTCCATAAAAAAGCATTTTTAGGAAAGAACAAATATCGTTCAAAAATCTTTGAAATCGTCTCAACACACTCGAATTCGTCTGCAAAACACTTCCATCAACTCGATTTTGCATTCATTTTAGAGATTTGGAGTGCATAAAAAATTTGGTCGGAAAGGTGTCAAAAATCGTTTTTTTTTCTAAATTAAGGGCTAGAGGGCCGTGCTTCTACTCCGCACTAGAGCATCCCTAAAGGGTCCTAAATACCGAATTTGAAGGCCCTACGACAAAGTTGATTTTTGGGTCTGAAAAAGAAACAAGGTTAACCCCTTTGAACATTTTCAGATTTTTGACAGATCTAGGAATGAGCTGAAAACTTGTATACAGGATGTTCTCGACGTGCTAAACACGAATATAACTTCGATTTTTCCATAACTTTATTAGTTTTCCATAAATAAGCATTTTTAGGAAAGCAAAAATATCGTTCAAAAATCTTAGAAATCGTCTCAACACACTCGAATTCGTCTGCAGAACACTTCCATCAACTCGATTTTGCATTCATTTTAGAGATTTGGAGTGCATAAAAAATTTGGTCGGAAAAAGGTGTCAAAAATCGATTTTTTTTTTAATTAAGGGCGAGAGGGCCGTGCTTCTACTCCGCACTAGGGCACCCCTAAAGGGTCCTAAATACCGAATTTGAAGGCCCTACGACAAAGTTGATTTTTGGGTCTGAAAATGAAACAAGGTTAACCCCTTTGAACTTTTTTAAATTTTCGAGTGGCCTCAGAATGAGCTGAAAACTTGTATTCTTGATGTTTTCGACGTGCTGAACACGAATATGGAATCGATTTTCTCGTATCTACATTAGTTTTCCAGATATGAGCAATTTAAAAAAAATGAAAATGTTCGTCAAAATCGCAGAAATGGTCTCAACACACTCGAATTCGTCTGAATTCAAAAATGTAGACTGCATAAAAAATTCACATTCAGAAATTTAAGGGTCTCAGGCCTGAGAAATGATAATACAGATAAATTCTGTGAACTCTGTTTCAAAATTATCATCAGTTCTACCAACTTACTGTTTCAGTTTTTTAGCGCCATCTAGGTTAAAATCACTGAAAGTTGTTGAGGAAGAATTTACAATGGGAAGAAACCTGTAATGAGTACAATCTCAAGAAGAAACCTTTAATAAATTACAGCAATGAGCTGTGGTAGTAGGAAACTGTGAAATAGTTTAAGAAGAAACCTGTATTCAAGAATCTACTACTGTGCTAAACTTCATGAACCATCCAATAGATGGCTCTCATCATTCAGATCCTTCAAGATTGGTAGAACTGATGATAATTTGCAGATTCCTGAACTCCTGAAAGTTTGAGGTTATGAGTTAAGTCCGGTTTGAGGTTTAAGGTTTAAGCGTGTTTTTTTTTGTGAACAGTTTGTTTGATTTAAGATTTGAATATTTCAATAAAATGATTACAAGAGCAAGAGTTCAGAGAATGGAAGACATTCTGAAGGATAGTCCTGATCCTATCAAAATTGTATCAGCACCTAAAATCACAAAAAAGTTGTAAAATCCCATTCCAACATTTTATCACAGTACAACAGTCAACTTGTTTTCAGGAAGGTGCCGAATAAAACAGCATCAGTAATTCCTGAGCCTGAGGAAAAGAGTATGAAGAACACTATTGAAAGTACCATAAATGAAGTGACAGTAGCAAGTAAGGATACAAAAAAGTAGGATAACATTGCAAGTGGGATGTCAGCTCCTATTCAAGAAAGCAAAATCTTGTTTTTCAGAAAGAAACCTGAAGTGAAACCTATAATTCCAAAAGGCAAGCCAAAATCCGGAAGAATATGGAAAAGTGAGAAGAAAAAATTTTCTTCTATAATCAAGACTAAAGGAATCCGTAACTCTTTTGAGAAGAAACAACTCTTGAGACAGAAACTGAAGGACATCAAAGAATTATCAAAATCTATCAAGAGTGCCAAAGAGGAAGAGAATGAAGCAAGAAAGCAGAGAAGGCGTGAGAATTTGAAAAGGCAGGAGGAGAACAGAAAGAGGTCAGAAGTTGTGCAGGTTATCACCAACACAAAAAAGCTGAAAAACATCAAGAAAAAGCATTTGAGGACTATTGAGAAGAGGGACACAACTGTGGTTTCAAAATAAGGCTGTTTTTTTATTGTGCTTCTGTAAATAAGAGACATAAATTCAGTAGGTACTCAAGTTTAATTCATAAAAAAAATCCTAAATGCTACATTCTGAAGATGCCAAATTTAGTGTCTTTGGATTCACTATTAAGAGCTGCTGCCAAACTCAAACCCAAGACTTTCCTTGTATCCTTTGGGTCAATTATACCATCATCCCAAATCCTGAACAAAACAAAGTAAATCAAATTATTTCCTAAAATCAACAAGAAGTATGGTTTATTTATAATTTTTTCATATTTAAGTGAGGTAAACAATGCTGATGGCCCCTGCAAGGAGAGAGAGGAAAGTTCGCTCCTCTTAGTCCTCTTCCATCTTTCTCTTCAGTGCTACCAACGTGGCCGGCATTGAAATATAGAGAGATCAGATAAATCTTTCCTTGTCTAACGTCTACTATGCACCACTAAACTATTTTCGGTGTTATATGTCATAAATGTCATTGACTGATAACCTCTTCGAATTTTTTTAATGAAATTTCGAATTATATCATACTTATTTTGACATCATTCATTAATATCCTTAAATTTGACTCTGCTGAATTTAAAAATAGTTCAATGGCACAAAGTAGATGTTAGACAAGGGAAGATTCATCGGACCTCTCTATATTTTAATGCAGCCACGTTGGTAGCACTGAAGAGAAAGATAGAAGAGGAGAGAACATTCCTCTCTCTCGTTCAAGGTAGAAAAGTAGGAAAGCGTAGAAACACCATATGATATATTCTTTTTATAATAGACAGATATAACCGTCAACTAGCCTAATTGACAGGTACTAAGTGGTAAGTAGCGTACTTGACAGATACTTAAGTGTTAATTAGCCTAATTGATAGATACTAAGTGGTAAGTAGCATACTTGACAGATACCTAAGTGTCAACTAGTATCTGGCAAGTAGGCTAGTTATCACTTAATATCTGTCAATTGGGCTAGTTGACACTTTAGTATCTGTCAAGTATGCTACTTACCACTTAGTATCTGTCAATTAGGCTAGATACTACTTAGTATCTGTCATTTATGCTAGTTGACACTCAAGTATCTGTCAAGTAGGCTACTTACTACTTGGTATCTGTCAATTAGGCTAGTTGACACTGTCAAGTATGCTACTTATCACTTAGTATCTGTCAAGTATACTAGTTACCACTTACTATCGGTCAAGTAGGCTACTTACCACTTAGTATCTGTTAATTATACTAGTTACCACTTAGTATCTGTCAATTATACTAGTTACCACTTACTATCGGTCAAGTAGGCTACTTACCACTTAGTATCTGTTAATTATACTAGTTACCACTTAGTATCTGTCAATTATACTAGTTACCACTTACTATCTGTCAAGTAGGCTACTTAACACTTAGTATCTGCCAATTATGCTAGTTGACAGTTAAGTATCTGTCAATTATGCTAGTTGACAGTTTATCTGTCAATTATGCTAGTTGACACTCAAGTATATGTAAGTATACTATAGTTACCACTTAGTATCTGCCAATTATGCTAGTTGAAAGTTGAGTATCTGTCAATTATGCTAGTTGACAGTTACGTATATGTCATTTATTCTAGTTGACAGTTACGTATCTGTCAATTATGCTAGTTGACACTATATATGTCAAGTATACTAGTTACCACTTACTATCTGTCAAGTAGGCTACTTAACACTTAGTATCTGCCAATTATGCTAGTTGAAACTTGAAAGTTAAGTATCTGTCAAGTTTACTAGTTACCACTTAGTATCTGTAAATTAGGCTAGTTGACACTGTCAAGTATACTAGTTATCACTTAGTATCTGTCATATAGGCTACTTACCCACCCAGTATCTGTCATTAGGCTAGTTGACAGTTATATCTCTCAATTAATTATAAAAAAAATATCATGGCGCTTCTCCGCTTTCATAGGAAAGAGCTAAATTATCAAATCTGAATACACATCACAAAACTCAAAATACAAATACAAAGGTCAAATGTCAATAAAGTTTGCAGGAAACTCAAGGAACCAAACTATTGTTTACTCACTCAGAGATTATACACTCCCTCACTAAATATGAAGTAATTAATCAATCCTAAATTATAATGAGCAAAATCATCAACCTTGCACTGCTGAAGTAAGGGGACGCCTCTTTGTTGAACTGTTCGATGATCGGCCGCTCAAAGTCTTCTTTCTGTTGTTGGCTCCAATTCTTGCCCCTGCTGGCGACTTGAGACAACACGCCGGCCGCCTGGGGGCCCCCCATCACGGCGATCTTCGCGTTCGGCCACATGTAGAGGAACCTGGGGGAGTATGCCCTTCCACACATGCCTAGGAAATGATGAAGAAATTTCCCCATGTTTTGCCGCCCATCTTGGATATCCATTCACAACTATTTGCCCTTCTTTTGCCATCATTGGACACTATACAGGGTGTTTCCTAACTACGGTTCCTAACTGCAGGTGGTGATTCGTTAGGTCATTTCAGGAAGAAAAGTTCCTATGAACATATGTCCGGAGTTGCTTCGTTTCTGAGATACAGGGCGATGAAATTGAAGAAAAAAAAAATGGTCATCACAAAATATCATGAAGATCCTGGAAGCGATTCGGTTGAAATTTGGTACTTTTATTTGAACTAATAAGGCGCTTATTTAGCCCTATTTAGATTGAAATTATTGGGGCTAGTGGCGTCTCAGTGGGCACCACAGCCAACAATATTGTGAAAAAAAAGTACGCCACTGACTTTTTTTGGTAAATTTTTATTTTTTTCAGATTGAGCAACTCAAAATACAACTTTTTGGTCTCCTGTATTTTTTTCATATCCAGCTTCGTTTCCGAGGAAAAAAATTAAAGCCACTGTATTGCATATCATGAATACCTGCATTGGAGAAATGAGTTTTTCATTATTTCCGCCAAAAATATAAATGAAACTTGATATGCTGAAATTTTAGAGAATTTGACAAATTTCAACCAAATCGGTTCCAGGATATTCATGATATTTTATAATTACCGTTTTTTTTTCTTTAATTTCAACGCCCTGTATCTCAGAAACGAAGCAACTCCGGACATATGTTCATAGGAACTTTTCTTCAAAAAATGACCTCACAAATCACCGCCTGCAGTTAGGAACCGTAGTTAGGAAACACCCTGTATACCTACTAACGTAATTCAATAACACATTTTATTTCCTAAAATCCAAACTATTGTTTTTACCTCACTAAATATGAAAAAATTACAAATAAACCATACTTTTTGTTGATTTTAGGAAATAAAAATGTGTTATTGAAGTACAAGGTGAGTATATAAAGTTTCCAGTGATGAAAAAAGGACAAGTAGGTAGTTGTAAATGAATATCCTAGATGGGTTGCAAAAGAAGGTGAAAAATCGCACTTTTTCATGAAATATCTGGATAAATAGCGGTTTGTTCACATTTTCACTATGAAATTCGTGTTATTCAGATGAATATACAAGTACAAAAAAAAATTTGAAAAAAAACCATCACATGATAAGTGCAGTTCTACCAAAACAGGTTGAAGTGAGAAGGTATTTGAATGGCTGTCCAGGAAATTCTATACCTAAGGAAAACTTACATTTTGTAAAATTTTCATATTTTTTTCTAGAATGCTTCATTATACATCTTCCCATGAATATAACATGCATTTCAGAAGACTACTATTCATATGTTCTATTTCAAATTTGATGCACTGCTTAATCTGGTTGAATAATCAAAAAAATATTTGGTATTATTTTGGCCAGATATATTTTTGTATAAATTACCATTTTCAAAAATAGTGGACATACTAGCAAAATTACTTGTATGTCTCTGATTAGTGATTTAATTTTTGTATCAGAAAAATGTTCTGATATTGGAATTTTAGATTCTGTCTCCTCAGAAGAAAGTTCATTTTTATATTCATCCTCTCAAAAAAAAAAAAACGTCTATGAAGTCAACAAAAAATGAGTAGGATATAATTTTTTTACTCTTTATTATTTTCAGATAGTACCAAAAAACACCAATATTGCAACATTTCTGATTCTTCAACTCTTTATTTTTAACCACAAAACAATTCGGTACCCTTGTGAAGTCCTGTAAATTCAATTTCTCCTGGAAAAAATGGTGTTCTGAATGAAATACAGACATCAGTGACTTACCCATTTCATTTTACAACAGGGTCAAAAATTAAATATAGAATTTTCCAAATTTCACCCAAAAGAAAATCTTGGTACTTTCACTCCAGATACATACCCAATTTTTGAGTCTATCATAGGTCGCGTGCGCAATGACCAACCCCGGAGGTAAAATATTAGAATACAACCTCACTTTTTTGTGAAACATTGAAACACAACCTCACTTTTTTCATCTGTTTACAGATGAATCAACGAATTGAAATAGTTTTTCACAATATTTTGGTATGCGAATCGAGTTTTTTGCCCTAATCAATAATTCAAGCATGCCTTCTCATTGTGCAGTTGTACAATACACAAAAAATGCAGCGAGAGACGAAGGAATATGATTTTTCAGGTGAATAGTAATCTCACATAGTTTTCATTGTGAAATTTTGTCAGTTCTTATTAAAATTCCATCTGCCACGTCTGCAATAGAAGCTAACACTTAACACTGCTAATAGATTGAAAATGTCTACAACACATACTACGATTATATTTCATCAGCATGTCAGACCAGTCCTTCCGTTTGATTGCATGAATCCAATCTTCTTGCATTCACTTAGAAATTTCACGAGTATTTCTATCAGCTCCTATTGCAGAAGGAATTCCGATGAGGAATCAGAGAAATTACCAAATTTCAAGATGAAAACTATATGTGAGTGACTATAACTAGTACTTTACTTTTGAATCATAATGTACCAACCGGATTCCTTCGTCTCTCGCTGCATTTTTTGCGCATTGTTCAACAGCTCAATGTGATGGCATGCGCGAATTAATGAATAGCCGAAAAACACGATTCGTATGCCGAAATGATTGTGAAAAACTTTTGCAATCACTTGTAAACAAATAAGAAAAGTGAGGTTGTGTTTCAATGTTTCACCTCCAGGGTCGGCCATCTGACAGTTCTTGCACGCAACCCATAAGGAATTAACACGCGAGGGACCGCGCGGGGTAGAAAATACCCCAGGCGATATCAAATTACGACTTTTTTGCTTAATCTGCACGGCACTGAAAAATCACGCTAGCTCAGTGGCTAAATATGATCAATTAACAAGTCTTTGCATGTGTTTCGTCATTAGTTTTGCACACATCGTAGTCAACATTAGGTGAATTGTTCCTGGGGTATATCCTTCCACGCGGGAGAGAATTGAAATCTTCAATATCCGAATTCGTGTCTGTACAAATGGAAATTAAACCTGTTTTATTCACTGTTTTATTCACTGCACACCCTCAATTTAAAAAATGCAAATTTAATAGCTCGTTACTATACGTTTGCAGATGACACAATACTTGTTTATGAAGGAAAAGACCTAATAGAACTAGAAAGTAGAATCAATATAGATTTGAACCTATATTCAGAATGGCTGTTGAGTAATAAATTGAAAATTAATGTACAAAAAACAGTATATATGTTATTCAAGAATAAAAACAAAGAAAGTCACGAGATTATTATTAAAATTGGAGATAATATGTTAAAAAAAGTAGAAAATACAAAATATCTAGGGCTAATTGTTGACGACAAACTCAACTGGCAAGCACACATAGAACACATGACAAATAAAATTGTTCCAATGATAGGTGCCCTGTATAGATGTCGTGATTACCTAAACAACCATAATAAGCTGATGATCTATAATAGTTATTTCCTCTCAATATTTCGATACTTAATAACGAACTGGGGAGTTTGCTCTAATACGATGATGAAAAAAGTCAAAACATTACAAAACAAAGTAGTAAGGTACTGTTTGATTTTGATTATAAAACAAATACCAATACATTATATAGTGTCACTGGAATATTACCACTCGATAAAATTCTACTTATTGAACAATGCAAATATATATATAAAGTCTCGAAGAATCAGCAAAAAAGTAATACACCAATGAATTTAGTAAACCAAGTTCACAATCACTATACCAGGGCAAACAATCAAATATATCTAACACAAGTAAAAACTAATGTGGCACTGAATGACCCAATATCCAAATGTATTCAAACTTATAATACTCTACCAAATTTCATCAAAAACAAAGATAGTTATGCATCGTTCAAAAGAGAACTAATGATTTATATGAATGCAATGAATACTTAGTATGTAATTTGTGCTTTTTGTTATGTTTTTTTTTTTTTTTTTTTTTTTTTTTTGTTAGGTTAAATGTGCTTCAAGACTGTACCCAAATATAAAATGTGCATTTTTGTTTGATGTTAACTTGATTAGGTACTTGTTTATACATCATTAAGTTTAAGTTCCATCACCAGCATTATTGCTGATTTGGAAAAAAAAATACTATGAATTGTTATAGTTGTATGTTTATTTGTTCAATAAAGTATTTTTTCTGAAAAAAAAAAAAAAAAAAAAAAAAAAAAAAAAAAAAAAAAAAAAAAAACGAGCAGCCTGCAATGGTAGTCAAATTTTCATATTATCCAAAAGAAAAAAAAAAAAAGATAGACAATTAAAAAAAGGGACGTGCGTATATTATTTATGCGTTGAAATTCATTATTGAATTCAAGTATATCGTCAACATAGATTTCTATGATCGTCAATCAAATTAAGTTCGTTCTTTATTATTGCTGGTCGTTTGTTTTATTATTGTTATAAATTATGCAATACCACATCGGACAGAGGTTTTTTCCGTCTCAAAACCAATGGGGTAGATTACTACTTACTACCCCAGGCGGTCCACGTTCAAGTTTCTATCGGTGCGGTCCCTCGCGGGTTAATGGTTCTCAACATTGGGAATATCTTTTGACGTTTATCAGGGACATAACATAACTTTTGAGGGGACAAAAATAAAAATTTCAACATTTGGAATTTTTATCTAGACAAAAGAAAAGAAAAATCGCAAGTTAATTTTCAATTCAATTAACTACCGAAATAAATCGATTCTCTCTTTATCTGACCCTCAATCCGACTTATCTCCATCATTTTCTTACCATAATTTCCAGCCCCGTAGGACCCTCCGATGATGACCGTGATTTTCGGTACTTTGGCACAAGCGACAGCAGTCACCAATTTGGCCCCATGTTTGGCAATCCCGCCAGTTTCTGCTTGTCTACCAACCATAAATCCTAATGACAATTTCATAAATGAAATGTTGGAATGTTTCTAGATTACAGAAATCATTATTTTTCACCTGTGATATTTTGCAGAAAAATGATGGGCACCCTCCTTTGTGTGCACAACTGTACGAAATGGGCCCCCTTCATGGCGCTTTCTGAGAATAGCACCCCATTGTTTCCCACTATCCCTACTGTCTTTCCATAAAGTTTTGTGAAACCACACACCAGCGTCTCACCGAACCTACACAAATATACAGATTGCATAAAATGAATCAAAAACTCACATTAGTATGTATTGAAAAATTTCAATTTAAATACTTTATACAGTGTCATTCATGAAGTTGGCATCATATGGGAAAAACTTTTAATATTAATCTATTCTGAAATTTGACTCGGGCGTTAAGTTGTGCTTCAGAAAAGATGAAAAATGGCCTACTACGTCGGTGTCACGTGACTTTCACTATATGTCAAAAAATAAATTTTTTCAAATCAATCGCTGAAAATGGGTTTATTGGTTCGAATTTCAAAAAAGATCACTAAGAAAAGTTGTTTTTATACGAATTTTACACATTTATCCCGAATTTCAACGTTCTATTGCAAATTTTAGCTCCTGATATTTTTTAATTTCTTCAAGTTGTAACTTCGTCAGAACTTTGGTTAGATACATAAAGTAGTTTGATGATATTTTGATAGATGACTTTGGCATAATTTTAGAACTGAAAAAATCAATATATCAACTTACCATAACAAAAATTTGAAGCAGGGATTATTATTTCCTGAAGGGATTGAAAGTTAGTAGCATGATTAAGCTACTAGAATGGAATAGTTTTGTGGGTGTTAATTTTTTTTATATTACAGACATTCCGTAGAAATTGACAAAAATATCAGAAACTAAAAGTTGTTATAGTAAAATTGGAATAGAAACAACTTTTCTTCGTAAATTTTCTTGAAATTCAAACAAATAAGCCTATTCAGTGATTAATTTGGAAAAATGTAACTTTTGACATGGAGCCAAAATTAATTTTCCATATTTTTTTAAGCAAAAGTTAATGCCCAATGAAAGTTTTTCCCAAATAATGCCGACTTTATGAATGACACTGTATACTTGTTTATTTATCAAAAATATGAAAACAAACCGACTGATAAAATCATTGTTTGAATAGTTTTGCCTCAAGTGAAAAGTATGTGTGATGAAAATGAAAAATTATCTGATCTGATGTATGAAGTACAATTTGTATTTGGAAAAACTATTTGAACTTTGAGATAATCTGAATAACTCCCGAGAGCCTTACCTATAATTATAATTGTTCATATTATGGTTAAATTGAATTGAAATACAAGTTACTCCATATAATCTCAAGAACATAATAGTCCCTAGTAGTCATATTAGATTGATATTTTGGAAGATTATATCAAAATTATAAACAGCACAAAATATACTTGTTACTCAAGGTAAATTTCGGCGATCACGAAAATTCTTAGTTTTATTATTGTCAAACAGAAAAATTATTTCCAGACAGACTCTCTCTTCTCTTCTTGGTATTTTCTGGTATTGATAATATGTTCCTGATTATCAAAACATATATTCAATAAAATCAAAAAGGTCTATTTTGAAATGAGTTGACTAGAATCATGCATTGCTATTGGTTGAAATCACCAAAATGCCAGATTTCGATAATATGCAAGTGGACTAATTTTTTTATTATTTCTAAAATAGAATCATCACTCTAAAACCTTTCAATTTCATATTCTTTTAGGAATTTCCGGTCGAGTTTGAGGTTATAAAATCATCAATAATGCCATGCTAATGTTCAAACGGCTAGAAATTTACCGCCAATAAAATCTGACGTCACGATTTCGTCAGTAGGGTGTGATGTGTCTGTTTTGGTCACCCTAACTTTTGTTGGATTGCTTATATTAGATAGTTACCATGTTTTGTTCACGTAGTGTATTTCGAGTAAGAGTGAGATGGGTATTAAGTGACAAGTGGCAAGTGACGGGGAATTCTCGCGCGCGTTGGAGGGGATTAAGGGAGGTTGGTGGTGAGAGTTAATCGGTAGTTAGATTTAGAAGCCGGTGGCTGAAACTGGTAATAATTGTACTGATTTTTGATAACGTAGTTAGATGTAGTGGTGGTTTATTGTATTGTTGTTAACTGGAGTATGTACTGTAAGTACCTTTTAACCATTGTACCACATATTATTTGGATAAGAAGTAGCAGTCAATTGCCTTGTATCCCCCCCTGAAGATTTTGTATGTCTGAAGAATTCAAGAAGTAAACGTTTTGCATAGAATATTGTTTACTTGAATTGGGACAACACATTTGGCGCCCAACGTGGGGCGCCAAATGTGTTGTCCCATCTCACTCTTACTCGAAATACACTACGTGAACAAAACATGGTAACTATCTAATATAAGCAATCCAACAAAAGTTAGGGTGACCAAAACAGACACATCACAAGGGGCAGACCATAGCACAATTACCATATGTTGAAATATGATTGGGAACTTCAGAAATACATTAGTTATTCAATAATTCATGAATTCTCAATTGAGTATTGGTAATATTCCTAATTATTAGCAATAAAAACTCAATTGTCTCAAAATGTTCCCTTATGATTTGTGGCTAATTGCTTAATTGCTTATTATAAATTTGTGTAAATAATATGATTATATTAATTCACACTAGAGAACATTTGTATCGGTGAACGTGACAACCCCGCACACGACTTGTAGGCGTAGTCTTGTCAGTTGTCAGCATTCAGCACAATGTTGCCAAGTCCCCAACATTCACATTATATTTTGTTATGGAAAATGAGAAATATTTTGGTACATGCTGGTTGCACGAAAAAGTCAAGAATGAACTATGATGTAGGGATGCACCGGAATTCCGACGGTACCACTAAATCCGGCCGGTTGGCCGGAACTATTGTTCCGGCCGGATCGCTCCGACCGCAATTAATTAATTGAAAAATAATTCATGTTCAATACCTCTTTTTGAACTCGTCGAACTCCGATCCGTCGAACACCCTCGCCACCACCTCCCTAACGTCGAAGGGCTTCCTGCCGTCCCTGTCCACGATGCCGTACAGCTCCTCCGCTGGGTACAAGGGCGGCTCGAAGGGCTCTTCAAAACAGTTAGAAGGGCGGCCCAGGTTGCCGACCACCCGTCTGGCCGTGTACAGGGCGTGCCGGTCGTCGAGGGCGAAGTGATCGGTCACGCCGGACGTGGTGCAGTGCAGGTCAGCTCCGCCGAGGTCTTCGGCCGACACCTGGTGGAGGAAACAATAAGAGGGGGAGTATTTTTTTTCAAGGCCACTGCCCAGTCAAGACAGGGCTCTATTCGATGGAAGTCCATTAGAACGTGCATATTGTCACGATATTGTTCTTTATAATGTTCAAAGAACATCGTGCGTTCCTAGGGAGGATAGGGACAGGAGGTAGGTATTGGAATTTTTTTGAACTTCTGGAGATTATATGTTGTTGGGAATACTTCCTGAAGCAATGAATTCCAGAGCCTAGCCGTTCTATGGATGAAGGAGTTTTGATAAAGTGATGTTCGACATCTTTCGAGGTTGACAACGATTTATAAGAGGTAATGGTTGGCTTAATAGTTTGCAAGAGGTAATATTCGAATAGGCACTAATAGTTTAGGGGCAACTGAAAGTATACGCCACTATGAGTATACGAGACTATATTCAAACATAACATTATTTAATCTTTGAAAGAAGTTCATGGTAACTCAAAGTTGATGTGGTGTAGTTCAAAGATAAAAACCCAAAGTCATCTCCACATCAGAGATCAATCTTGAAGGAACATGTTTCGGGCTTATATAAGCCCATCATCAGCCAATAGAAAATATCATAGTTCTAGAAAAATCAGTGCTGACTTACGATATAGATGCAAGAATTACTTAGTACTTACATGGAACTGAAAAAAGTAGGCATACAAATAGTGCAAACAAGGAAATATGCTCCATGATCTGAAAACCAATTGATTTAGAATATTAAGAGAAAAAGTGAAGAAACCTGAAAAACTTACTGTCACTGTAAGATGATATAAAATTATGTTATAAATTCATTTTAATATAAATTTATCATTTGAAGGTCGGGTTCATATTTTACAAGGGGATAATTAAAATAATTTTAGTTTGATTTTTCGAAATTACTAATATATACCGTATGTTATTCTCCTGACGGATTTTTGAGATATTCAGATAACATCCACACTTGATATCCAATGTATATTTAGTTTAATCTACACCTTGTCCCAGCTAAAATGTCCCCCCTGTAAAAAATCAACCGCGCGATCGAATGACTTGAAATTTGGCCACCCAGTATATTTGATGATGTTCACTCGGAATATGCTATTGAATAAATCGTAGGTGTACAGGTTCTCCTAAACTTTTCTATTTGAATAGGGACACCTAGTATATTATTCCATATTCAAGTAGAGTTCATTATTACAAATTCAACAATGGTTGGATGGAATTTTTTCAAACGACTACGACGAAATGGCAAAAAATAAAACGATACATACGATACATACGTTTTATCAAGGAACGAATTTATTAGCAAAAAAATGACTGACAAGTTATGAATAACATATTATTATTGTAATATAACGATAGTGAAAAACTATAGATACCATCGCAAAATATCATAATTCATCTTTATTAGTAATCAACTTCATTCAGCCAATGAGATATTGATGGGAATTATTCATAATACTTGACAAAGTAGGATAGAATAACCTGGAATAACCCCTATTATATCCCATTGCTGTTACATTGAACTCAATGTAAACTGCTGTTATGATATAGTTTTATGCATTCAAAGAACAATTTCCGGAAATCTAAACATATTGATGATGTCGTGTGAATTTGGATTTTCAGAAAGTCATAGGAATGGTGGAGGAGCCAAGTTCTTCTTTTATATTTATTTTTTTCTGAAGTGAAATTTGATCTTACCAGAAAAAGAAAAAATAGGTATATATTAATTTTTTACAAACTTCACAGTGGGTTAAAAAAATCCAGGTCCGTATTTGAAAAAATAAAGTTGATGATGGCCCCTAGAAGAAGAAAGATCGGTTTTCCAATTTGAGAAATATATTTTGTCGAGAAGGAAAAGCGGCAATGATGAAGTAACATTCATTTTGAAATATCTTCAAATAAATACTGAGTAATAAATAAAAAGGAATCTGCATATATTCCTTTTTTCCCAGATATTTCCGGAAATAATTAATTCAACCTACTCTGTATCTCCTAAGGTTTAAGATATCCCCATGCCTAGCCACGAATTTGTAACACCTGTAGAAATTAATATTTTCTTCTATTCCTCAGATAAACCTGCTGAAAGAGATCCAGGGGTAGATATATATTGTTGTCCAGGGGCGGCGAGTGCATGGGGGCATCGGGGCCAATGCACCCATGTAGGCAGTGGGTATGGGTGCAATGCACCCATTGGCCGAAACAGACGTATAAAAGAACAAATCAGATACGGGCGAAATGAGCACTTGTAAATATTGCACATTGTTGCTGGAAAAGTATAGGTAAACAACCATGCAAACCGTATATTCGATTCGCGGTCGATGTGTATCCAGGGTTTGATACTGTGCACTGTGCAAAGATATTCCGATTTATATTTCAGACATGATGACATCACAGGTTACAAGTGCCAGTTTGAAAAAAAAAAATAGAAATGGCGTTTTGAATGAATGAATTAGACATAAATACAGTCGGCTAATGAATCCATTGATAATATTACAGTTAGTAGGAATACCTTTTCAATGAAATAACTGGGGTTACTTGCTAATTTTTTCGAATCCCAAAGTTCCTCTATTCCATTTTCTGAATACTGAATAGATATCAGAATAATTAAATCTTATTTCATTTTTGTAGAGATTGAATTTTCTTATATCGTGTTGAATTTTGAGTTAATTTTTTTCAATAGTAAAAAAAAATTCTTCTATTTCTCATCCTTGTTCATATTAATATATCAATCCGAACCCAAACTCGAAACCCGATTAATCACAAAAGATTATATTTTGGTAGAGGTGTTCTACACTTGATGCAAAATTAATAATGCTTTGATCTATCTTGAAATTTGAAGGCATTTGACCTTGAACTATGAAAAATTTTCGCCTGCGGCGCATAATTTTGTCTTATCCTAACCCCTCAATTCTGGCACCCATTGGACAAAACAAAACTCGCCGCCCCTGTTGTTGTCCTCATGCAATATTGTTCTTGCAAGGACCACAATATAAATTTTATCCTGAAGTAACAAAATAGTCAATATAACTTTAACAATTTTCATAATGGCTATTCTACAAAATTAATTAATTAAGTGTCTCAAAAAAAGTTTTGAATACCATAATATTAATTTCCACTACTAGGTACTACCTCTAAAATTTTGCCAAAAAATTTACCAGAACATTAAGCAACATGTGATATATGATGTAAGTTTAGCATAAGACTACATAAGTCATAAATTAGAATTCTCACTGCAAATCAAATTTCTGATCTGTCCTCTGGAATAGATTACATTCTCTATGGTGAAAATAATGTATATCTAGCAGTTTTTTAGTAGAAGACATAGATATTGATGTTTCTTACCTCTTCACCAGTGGCTGCCTTCACCAATGGAGGCCCTGCCAAGAAAATTGTCCCTTGTTGTTTAACTATAATGGATTCATCAGCCATTGCTGGAACATAAGCACCTCCTGCTGTACAAGAACCCAACACCACAGCAATCTAAAAAACACAATTCAATAATTTGAAAAAATAATCTTTGATGGAATTTCATAGGAGAAAAACCTATAGAAAAAAGCTGTTATTAATTATACCTGTGCTATTCCTTCAGAGGACATATTTGCCTGGTTGAAAAAAATCCTTCCAAAATGATCTCTGTCAGGAAACACTTCTGACTGATGGGGTAAATTTGCACCCCCACTGTCCACCAAATAAATACAAGGCAATTTGTTTTCCTGTGCAATTTCTTGAGCTCGAACATGTTTCTTCACAGTTATGGGATAGTAAGTGCCTCCTTTCACAGTGGCATCATTTGCTACAACCATGCACTCTTTACTGAAACACAGAAATAAATAGAGGGTGCAAGAATTATTTCAGGCATTCACTCTTACCCATGGATTTTGCCTATTCCTGTGATGATTCCTGCAGAGTGAATGTCTCCATCATACATTTCATCTGCAGCTAAGGAAGAAAGTTCAAGGAAAGCAGTGTTTTTGTCTAGCAGAAGATTGATTCTGTCTCTAGCCAATAGTTTACCCTTGGAAGTATGTCTTGTTACAGCTTTTTCACCTCCACCACGAAGGACATTATCAGTTTTCTTCTTGAGGATTTCCACAAGTTGTGACATCTGGCCATGGTTTTCCTGAAACAAATTTCAATTCAGAGGGCTTTGTAGAAATAATTTGAATGAGTTTTTACAATGAAATGATCCGACTGCGGGTCTACTTGGGTTTTTATAACATTTGCACTGGTGTTGTAGAAATTCTTCACCGTTCTCAAACTTTTGAACACGATTTTTGGTTTTGAAAACATTTTCTATCCTAACCATCAATTCAAGATGACTACAAATCCACAATCCACTAAATTTATGGAGCAACTTTTGACCTCAAAATGATAATTTTGCTTGCAACACATTGTTTCTAGTTGGCTATGCTATAATCCTAAATAATGAAACTTTGTTTTGAATGTGGTGATAAGGTTGTCAATCAGAATAAACAATAATCTGTTCCTCTCTTGCTGAGCAGTTGACATAATTTTTGAATAATGCTGAGACTTCTGAGGAACAATGTGATTTTTCCCAAGAGAATAGCATCTTTGAACATCAGAAATTACGGAAGAAAACCACTTAAAGGTGGTGTGGCAGGAGAGGTAATTTTCTACCATGAAAATGTCAAAATAATCTCACATTATAACACTCTTTTAGACGCTACCTTGTGCCGGATCAATTGGAAGCCCCTGGAGGATGACAGCCATATTCATATCGTTCTTCGGAGTCGCTTTTTGGGCCCCCCATATTTTGTTTATATACATGATGCACAGATAGGAGGTAAGTCGGACATTTCAAATTCACCACTTATTCTAGGGAATTTGGTTCGGTTGGCTTCAAAACATTGGTGAACCTGCTTATTGCTTTCAGTGTTGCCAGGTTCATTTCAATTCCAAATAAAATTATTCATCTCTAGAAGATCTCTAGTTTTATATGGTACGTTTAGGAGAAAGAAATAAGACCACTGAGCTATCGCACTGCTCGAAATTCGATAGTTTTAACTATCAAGAAAGAAGAAATATCGTGTGTTGGCTTGTTTATCCCAACAAGTAACACATCAGCATGCTACTAAGTGAATTACTTGCGAGAGACACGTAACTTGTGTCTTGTCAGCTTGTCAGACTTGTCTCTTCAGTCTTGTCTTGTCAGTTGTCAGTCTTGTCCGCCATTCGAATTTTAGAGGTTATCTGCAATTTTGTCACTTCGACAAATTTTCTCCCAAGTACTAAATTCTAGTTATTCAATATGATCGGAAAAAGTAGCTTGCTTGTAAGAAATGTATTGAGGAATGTTGTCAGAAACTCTCATGATCATGGTGGCGTCCCTGGAGCTGTGAGTAATTTTCTGAATTCTTTGTTACATGTTACATAATAATTTTCATAAAATTGAACTCCTTTACCAATATCACCGTCACTGATATTCTCATAATAATTACAAACACTATTCGTATTAGATTTTGATTCCTGGTCTTAGAACTCTGGATTCTTGCATGAATTCACCTTAAAAACTTCTGTGCACAATAGCACATTAGCATAGAAATTTGGTTTGGTGAATTTCACCATTCATTAATAATAAGTAAAATAAATGCAAAGTCAAATATTTTTGTTTCAGAACTTGCCTTTCCAAATCAAAAACAGATTCAGGTTGACTGCAGTGATGATTCTTTTCCTTGGATCTGCTTTTGGTGCCCCATTCCTCATTGTGAGACACCAGCTCCTGAAAGCCTAAATTATTCCAGATGCTAGTAGCCCCATAGTTCATTTTTCATGTAAATAAGGTACAAAATAAAAACTGAAAAATAGTAATAAGTTGTTTCATTGGTTTAGATCTCTGGTGATTCAACATTCCATGTAAATATTTCAAGGACATATTGTTGGGATCAAAATATAAAATGTGTCCTAAAATGCAGCCCATTTCGGCCAAAAAAGTGAGGAGCCACCTCCAATCCCCCCCCCCCCTACATAGTTTTTGAAGTAGGTATGATAAAAGTACAGGGGTCTGCCAATTTTCAGAAAATTTTTTCCCTCACTTTGGTCACAATTTCAGAATATCTTTTTTTATCTAACTTTCAGTGGCAGCAGCTTGGAGGGGGTGAATTTTAGGACACATGTTTATATAAAGAAAAAGTCTCATTTTGATCCCAACAATATATTATGTCCTTAAGATATCTACATGGAATTTTAAATCACCTTGTATAGCCAGAGAATAATTAGCAAGAAATACAGATTGAAAAATACAAAAAAGAATACATGAGAATGAAATTGATTAGAAAAATTTTACTTGGAAGAATTTAGAGAAATTTAGAATCATCAATTCATACCTATATACTGACTATTTCATCAAGTATCATTATTATTCGTATTTTTTTTTTCACATAACTTCAATAATGATAGAATGCTAAAAGTTATTGGTGGTATATTTAAGTTTTTGGGGAATATTATATGGAAGCATATTATAATAGGTCCCCTACTGATGGTTATAAACCTTCTCAAAAAAGGTCCATGTTTTCAATAACCCATGAAACTATGAAACTCACAAATACACTGAAACATGAAACATTTTGAAAAACGAGGAAAATAAAAGAAAAGTTTCTGGACCAAAATATAAAATTAGTAGGCATTGAATATATAAACTTTATAAACTGTTGTAATTTTGATAACCTACATGACAGTAGTGGCGACAGGCAGACAGACGTTTTTCAATAACAAAAAATCACATACCATATCCATGTGATTTCAATTATTATTTAGGCAACACAGTATACTCCAATTCAGTCTAATTTTAAATTCCCGCATTTACCTCGCCTTCCGGTCAATTTATATCAATTGAAACCGTCCGAGGCTGACCTGTGGTCAGAAAAAGGGGCCCATTCGTGTCGAGAGAATGGCCAGTCAAACACAGGGCATCCAGCAGTTGCTGGTGGCCGAGAAAAGGGCAGCCGAAAAAGTGGCAGAAGCCAGAAAACGTAAGTGCGACGATCCATTTTTTTTTATTGGCTTACCGTTAATTTTAGACCACAGACTTTATTTTGGGAACAGCTCTTTGACCAGATTTTTTGTTTTCAAATTTTGTTTGCCTACTATAATCGAAAATATTTGTATGTAGAGTGCTTGATTATTTCTTTTAGAGACATTTCGAGTAGGATGTTGACGTTCCAAAAGAGAAAATAATAAACTTGCAATAATATTGTGATAGAATCAGATGTTCATGCAGATTCGAAATTAGGTGTGAATATTTTGTTTTTTATTATTAAACTAATATTTGCTAGGTGAAATTAATATCTCTGCATACTGAATGAATAAAATATAATATACAGGGTGTGTGTCGTTTCAAACACATATTAGAATTATTATTTCGAGTCCTAAAACAATATGAGAAAGAAGTAAAAGAAAATACTTAGGTAGGTACTTATCCTTTATTATTTCTTTCCCCAATCGTGATTATCTGGTACAAATTTTTAGTTATCTTTATCAATTGGTATATAATATTACCTAGCGGTTATTCACTCAAAGTAATGAAAAATAATGTTCAAAACTCGTTGGAGAGTGCATTTTCTGCGCTCATCGCTAGGTTTTAGTACTTTACCTACTATAGCTTTTTCATCTTTTGAAATATCGATTTAATGATAAGTGTATACAGGGTGTGTTTTATTTAATTAGACATAAATATTATATGCCTATGCCAAGGATAAATCTCACTTTGAATAAAATATGAGGAGTCAAAAATGTGAATGTTAAATTACTCTGAAAAGGTACTTAATGATACATATTATAGAGTTGAGGATGGTGAAGTTTGGAATTCAGAAAGTTTTTTTGGAATTATTGCCAAATATCTCAGTGTTTTGGCACCATTTTGGTTTAAGATATTTGATATATGTAGTAGTTTCATAGATCTTAAAAAAATTGCCAATGCATTTTCAGCTTCTGTGCATAAGATTCAACTATCAAGTATCAATTATCGTTGGATTATGGCAATAATGGATTATTTCAAGCTATGGTTGAAGTGTTCATGGCAATTTTTAAGGTATAAAACGGTTTATGCGTCATAACTCATTACGACCAATCTAGAGAACATTTAATTTTGTCGAGCATTTTATCGCATTTCTGTCTGGTAAATAAAATTTTACGGCTTTATAGCCCAATATTCTTTTCATCGCCTATTTTTATAATCGATAATAAATCTGCATCTATACCAAAACTAGATGAGAGCCCTTTATTTCGTTGCATGGTTCTATAATTATGTTGTTTCTTTCGAAAAGCAATAAAAAATCCCAACACCATATCCTTATACCGGGTGGTCCATTCAAGACTATATCCACCCTCGATATCTCCCAGAATTATTATTTTACAACTTGTACGACTTGTTGGGATTCAAAAAACGTTACACTCCTAGTTTCAGAATTGAATTACCTTCGCAATGATGTATACACAACCCTTATTATTATTCCCTATTCAAATTATTGAGGGGGCTGCTCTGGGGAGTAGAGGGTTGAACTATGGATTATATTCATTTCGAGTCAAAAGGTGTCCCCCTCCATATACAAATCGACCTGTTTCGTCGATTTCTTGTGAAATAATAATTCTGGGAGATATCGAGATTCCAATATACAGGGTTGGGCAAAAGTATGGAACCAGGTGAATATCTCGGCAACCGTTTGTTAGATTTTTTTGAATATATGTAAAGGGTGATTTCAAAACCTGGTGGATGTGAAAATGTTATCGTCGATGTTGCCACTTTTCCAGTTATCAGGTTGCAGGTTTAATCAAGAAAATAATCATGGGGCATTGCACATTTTTTTGAACACACCTTATTATACTTTCCATAGGCAAAACTCGCCGAATCAAGCAAGCTAGAGAAGAAGCAGCAGCGGAAGTGGAATTATACCGGAATGAGAGAGAGAGGCAGTTCAGGGAGTATGAGGCAAAGTACATGGGTTCGGCATCAGATGTCGCTGCCAAAATTGACAAAAATACACAGAAAAATATGGAAGAGATGGACTTGAACGTTCAGAAGAACAAGGGACCGGTGAGTAACTGTTTTTCTTTTTCAAAATCCTTCAAGGAACTATACAGGGTGTTTCATTTTATCTCAAACCGTTTCGGAAATAATTATCTTCACGAAATTCTCAAGAGGGTGACATGAAATGTATGTCTTTTTTTTATTATATATGTCAATGAATATGGGTCATTCTTCAAAACGAAGACATTATGATGTAACTAGTTTTGGTGAAAATTATATAGCAAAATGATTAAACTTTGAAAAACATTGAAGAGGATAGTTTAAGACTTGTACTTCACATTAATTGAAAAAAGAACCAGAGAATTCATATATTCTTTCATTTTTATAAGCAAAAACACCTCTGAAATCATCTCCATGGACTGTAACTATAGCTACATATGGTTAAGTGAAATCGATCATGAACCCCTAAAAAATATAATGAAACTATTTTTCAGTAAATATGTTCTCAAGTGATTCAACAATAACGAGAGTGTAAGCAAAGAAGTTTTACAAAATTTTATTTTAAAATGTATGTGATTAATATGTGACATTTTAAAACTCAACTCCATGGACATCTGTTATTTTTGTCATAACAACCTCATCATTTCAAATTTCAAGCAAGAGCAGTTAGTTGAAGATTGTCAGCGAAAAAGGATTCTGAAGACACAGAGTTGAGAAACAACTTGAGTATTTTTATTAACAATCAAGTCCATGTCGTTGATAACAAATGGACTGAATCGTTACCATCGAGACTACACGACCATTAAGATTTAGTAATGTATAACTGATAATGTCTTGTACGCATGATAAATAATTTGAGGTTAGGTTTTGAAGCAGTGTATGGATATTTGAATAGTTCCTATAGAACACCAACTCCATGGACATCAACTCCATTTCTTTAGATTTCAATATTTATGAATTTCCCAACACAGAATTTCAGACAACTCGTTTTTCATCTGAAGTTTTTGAAAGCATATATACAGGGTGTTTCATAATTGAATGCTGATCCTAGAGGGCGATGATCCTTGGATGATTTTAAGGAGAGAAGTTCATATCAACATATGTCCAGAACCTCTTAGTTTTTGAGCTACAGGGTGTTGAAATCAGAAGCGTACAGCGTTTTTTCAAACTAAAGATTCAACATCAGGTCTACGAGGACATCACTGCTTATAGTGGGTGTCTACTGAATTACCAAAAACAATATCCAAGAACTGAAGGAACAAAATTCTTTGGTTTTTATTTTTTCACGCGAAAACGGTACGTTGTATGAAAGTAAGTCTAGGAACCAAATTTGCTTCAATATGAACAAGAATTGAAGAAAAAATTCTAGCTCTCAGGAAAATCAGTGGCGTACTATTTTTTTCTTCAAAAATTGCCAGTTCAAACCCCGTACGGACGCCACTGGTGAGAATTTTTAAATATCTTTCAAGTAAAAAAATGCTCCTCAATAATAAAAAGGTGTATACAAAATATCATAACAATATCTGAGTGATAAAAAAATATAATGAAAAACTCATTTTTTTCTTGAAATTTCATCACCCTGTAGCTCAATAACTAAGAGGTTTAGGACATATGTTGATATGCGCTTTTCTCTTTGAAATCATCCAAGGATTATCGCCCTTGAGGATCAGCATTCAATTATGAAACACCCTGTATAAGCAGTAGTATATTTTCTGAATCATTTTCATGTTGGTCATCTCCATCTCCATGGAATCTTTATTTATTTCATGAAGGTACTAATATTTAATATTTAGATGGTCAAAACAAAACTCTAATGATATTGTTATCATTTTTTAGTTAAGGAAATTTCGTGTTTTTGTTGATATCGTCAACTCCATTGGAAGAGTATTGTTTGTTCAGCATAAATCGATAAAAAAATTGTCAAATTCTTGGCTAGTTCGGTATGAGATATATTATGTAAAAATACGCCAACTGAATGAAGATTAACCGATTTTGATACATTTTTCAATTTCACTGAATATCCTTGTCAATTTGACCCGTCTTGAAGAATGACCCGTATATTCTTATGTTGAACAAAGTTTGTTTTACATTTTTTCACTTGAAAACACATACCTACTACAGTCGAAGATGCAGAAAATTATGATTCGTTTTTTTCATTTCAGCTAATTTTGGATTTGATAGAACTAGTCACAGATGTCGTACCTGAAGTTCACCGCAATTATTATATCATGAGAAGTTACAATAAAATATAGATTATTTGTTTTAGTCTGTTAAATTCAGTTACAGACATTGTTATTATATATGTTTATCAGTTTATGCCTTTTATGAGGTTTTTCCAGTTATATTAGTCATGACCGTTCACATGTAGTGATATATCTTATTTGTATTGTTGTAGGTGATTAATCATTTGTTCGCTGATTCAATGAGATTATATTGTTATTGTTAAATTTCCAGCTGAATCTAATAAAAGACAGTTTTCATTGCCAGTTACTCACAATTTTTCTCTATACAAACATTTATTGACAGTTTCTCCTCTTAACATTTTGATCCATAAAAAAATAAAGTTTCACATGAAAATCTTCTTCATCAGCAGATACATGTGTTGATCCACTTCAAAGCTGTGCAAATTATTTGCGTCACCTTGTAGCCTCATCAAGAGTCCACCAAAGGAAACATAGGCAGCACTGAAAACAAAAATGAAAATCAGTATAATGGATACTGTCTGTAGGTATAATGGAAATATCAATAAAAAAATGTGATGAAAAATATTACATAGATCATAGGATTTAGATTTCGTGAAAATGTATGAAATAAATTACGTGGTAGTCTTCAATTATTTAATTGAGTAGATTTCAAAAAATATTTACAAATATTACAAACATATAATATTGACATGATAGATTGGTGCTAAAATACATTCAAGTACTTGAACATGTTAGGAAAATTACAGTACACTTATAATAATATAAAACAATGGAGAAACCGACTGAGTGATTTTATACCTTATACATAATTTTCCACATACAATTTCACAAATTAAAATAGTAAACACTACACAAGAGTTATTTAATTGGCAATGTCGTTGAAGTTGTTCGAGATGTACGTTTACTCATGAATTGGGTGAAGTGCCTTCCTAATGAAATAATGAAACAATTAGTTTCTAATATTTTAATTGCATCTGGAAGTACATTCAATTTTTATTATATATTTTAGACCTAGAAGATATAAGCACTAGGAACAGTGAGTTCACCCATGGTATATTAATAAGATACTAAGCAAAGCAACAACACAACTTGAACCGTTTGAGTGATTTCTTAGCTTTTATCGTCGCTTTAAATCGACACTTCTACAGGTTTTGTCCCAATTTTCATTATATTTTAGCACATTTCACATAAATCCTTGATTTTCTGCCGTTAATTGAATTCGTTGTGTTGTTTCAACGATATTCACGAAGGAAGTATGGATAGTGGTCGTGGTCCAAAAATCACAACCAGCTAACCACACTGCCACCGTGTACATCGGTACAATAACAGCTGTGGACGATGGGATCCAAATCTGGAACGCTAGCTGGCTGAACCTAGGAAAAATTGAAACATAAAGACGATAGGTCGGCAACGTGCGTATAGGTACGAATAAGGAAGACCTATGTTTGATATCGTTGTTTTCTTCTTTCTGGACTTTCAAAGGTATCTTATTGGTTGAAAATAAGGTGAAACCGAATGCTCCCTTTGGTGTGGCACAAATAAAAGAAGACTTTGGTAGTATCTCTCTTCTACTAGGCGATATAAAATGGCGAATTTCGTTCAGTGTGGTTTGTAAGCAAAAAAATGCCATTGTTTCAAATTGGCTCGTTAGAGGACACATCCATAATCAAGTACATTATCTCGTTCGTGGCACGCATTCTCAAGGTGGGCCAAAAAACAATTACCTAATTCAAGGTCAGATTAGATGAGATGACAAATGGAGCACAATACAGGGTGATTGTTCTATTTATAAAATGCATAGGTTTCTTCAGAGACGTATTGCTTTCATAATTATTGTACTTTTTATTCACATTTTGAATGTCAAAATGTTGGTCATATGAAGAATATTTCTAGTATATACAGGGTGCCTCAGATTTAACTTCTCTGAATATTAAATACGTGTTATTTGTTTTGTCGTGAAGAAACTGGGCTTTCGTTATACTTCGATTCATGGTTTTGAATTGTTATTTCTGTTGAAACAATATACCTACTTAGTTGTCAGATCTAAAGGACCTCGGACTTTTTCTATAAAATTGGCGTCCCGTCGAATTTCCTGAAATTCTGGTATATTACAGTACTCGACCTAATGATCAAGTATGCCAAGTCCCAATCCAATCCAATGACCTGTTTTTGAGATACAGGGTGTTGAAGTTGGGAAATGACCCCTACCATCTGCCCATATCTCTAAGAAAGGACAAATCGAATTGAAATTTTTTGCTTACAGTTTTTCATTTTAACCTTTGGATAGAACAACCTTATATAGAATCAACCAATTGGATTGGGACTTGGCAATTCAGAAAATTCGATTCCATTTTTCATATTTTCTCAAGCAAAACTTGACGCACAAGTCGAATTTCGGAATACATCATTATTACAAGTTTTTCCCACATGATGCCGACTTTATAAATGACACTGTATATTTTTCTTCCTCAAACATCTTTCAAACGAGATGTCATTGACTATAGATTGAATTTTTGTCTATAATTTCGAAATTATCATCAAAATTATGATTTTTTTTTCTAATACATAGAGTTAAACTATTTAGTACAGTACCTATACATATTATGTAATGGGAGAATAGTATATTATGTACCAAGTGTTATAAACGTCCTTTTCGAGCGGAGCAGAGCGAGTGTTTAATAAACGAGTGTCTAGAAGAGTTTATAAACGCGTTACATACTATGATTTTTCTACGAACTCCGAAAATTACATTAATATACCTGCAATTCCTGCTAACCCACAAAATAATTCGAAAGGAATGGGAATTGAGAACATAATACATGCAACTGCATGCAACCAGCGAGACACGTATAGGTGATATTGGTTGTAGATGTGTCCAGTCCATTGCTTACTAACCTTTGTTTCACGTTCATTGTCATGCTTAGAGCAGAATAAATAGATTTTTCTCAAAGATGGATGCTTCATTTTTACACTTCTTGGAGATATGCAAGTACCAGAACATTCTCTCCGATTTCACTTTCGTCTACTTTTCGCATATATTTTTAATGATGAATTCTGATACAAACGAATATTGTTCGAATAATTCTGATACAAAATTCGAAAATAACAGTTGACAGGTAATACAATTGACAGGCCAGACATGTCTCAAATTACTGAAGCTGTGTTTAATAAACTGCGTTGCCATGGTAATGTGTTCAATATTTTGAATAAATCACAGATCGACAATCCGTGATTAATCGATCATTTAGCGTGGTACAAATCCGTACGCTAAATGCCATTTTAGTTATGTGAGTAAAAAAAAATATTTTCTAGAACTGATCTGACACTGGTATGACGCATGCAAGTATTTTTTATTTTTTACTTAACCTGTAGGAATGGAATTATCAATATGAAAATGCTGACAATGGTACTGTATGGCAAATGAATGAGTTGAAACGTAGATTTAATTTTTGGAACACTCAACGTATTTTATCTGGGAAAGTTGAATGGAAATACGATCTTGTTAGATAAGAAACGAACGCCTACTATGACCACCAGTCTGCCATTCTAGAACAATAATCGACCTAGGATATCGTTTTCAGTGGTTATCTGATACTATGTTTGAAAATAATGAACGTGTTGTTGAGGAAACGATTAAAATTATAATTAATATACTGATAAACAAACAACTTACAGTTGACTTGATTCATGATATAATGGAACTTTTCCTATGAAAATGACTAGCAAATATTGCGATTCAGAATTACCTCTCTTTCAATCTATCCTTCTGAATATTTTTGGAAATTCGAAAATATTTGAGACAAAGCAAATTCCTCTTGATTTTGTTCCATATTGCTTCGAACAAAAATCCTAAGGTATTTTGATCATTGGTTTCTAAGACCCATTTGATTTGTTTTGCATGAAGTGGTTTCAGGTGATTTTAGGAGGAAATAAAAAGTATAAAAATAATATAATTTAATAAAAAGTCCATATACTTTTTGTAATAAATAACCTCTTGTACAATATAACAATCATAAAAATATAAAAAATATTCTTAAAATTTAATACATATCTCTACAGTAATCCAGTTATTAGAAAATTCTCATGGAATGGATCTCAACATCATTTTATTTTCTAGAAGTTTGAAATAAGAGCTTGATTTATGAAAAATAAAGTAGATTACATTTTTATTGATCGAAACTATTTATGATACAATATAATGAAAACATAAAATGCAGTACATTCACCAATACAAGCACAAAGCCATGTGTCATATAATGAATAAGAACTTGGAAATTCAACAAAATGCAAATTAAAGAGTAGTTACTATACAGGTTATCTCAGAAATAAGAACATTGATTTCAACTACAATGGGTATCGAATAAATCGAGGAATAAAAAATACTCATGAAAAAAAAAAACAAACGTTTTACAAACAACCTTCATAAAATCCTCCACTTTCGAAGTTGACACGGGGTGAAATTGGGTAAATTAGTGCTGAAATAAATACTTTTCTTGAGAAAAAAAAAAAAAATACCACAGTAATAATGAATTATTGCTAGTCATGCCTTTGAACAACCATAGGCAAATTTTCTGAGGCATGATAACAATACAGAGAATTTTTCAGTCTGAAATCGACCCCATATTGAATGAAAAAAACTTGATAATTATTAATACCAGTCGAAAAAGTGAGACACTTCATTATAATAAGATATAATTCAGATGTTCTCTCTCGAAGTACAAAAATGTTTTTCTTCATAGCCAAATACCTTCAAATTGATAGTTTTATAGGTTTTCAGTCTGGTACAAGCAGTTGCATATCATTTCAATATATTCCATTGGCGAGAAAATTAAAGCACATAATATTACCTATTTCATAAAATAAACGACGGAATCAGAAAATAACCTTGTACTGAAGATTTCACGATTTCATTCGAACAAAATCTGAAATCAGATGATGTTCTCTTCATTATTGACACGCGTGGTATAATCTACTATTATTATAGGTAATTTCAACTCATGTACTTCCGGATTGGTAAATAAACTGTAAAAGAATCTCAGGCTGGAAGATCGAGGCACTAAACACACAAAAAAAATTTTATAGTTATTTATGTATTAAGGGAATTATGAGGGCCTTAATTACCGATGGCAAAGTTTGCGTCCCGAGGGCCTCTGGCCCGAGGGACAGCAATTGCCTGAGGTTATTGAGGCTCAGTAATTCCCGTGATACATAGATAATTTTATTTCTGACTGATTTCATTCATTAGACCTTCCCGATTGGAAGTTAGACATGTTTTTCCGTATAGTTTCAATGTCATCAGAACGTCAGATGATGATCTTGACTACCGCGAATAGGAGATTCCTTATTGCTACGTTACTGCGTGGTTGTTGCTATGCATTTCTTATTTAATTTTAGTTAGAGGGAATTATAGCATCTATAACATCCCAAGGGAGTTATGACCCTCATAATAGATATCGTAACTATGACGATATAAGCTTATAATGTCACTGTCAGAAATAAATAAATTTATTGTTGGCCAATCAGCGCTTTCGCAATAAGTTTCAGCCTGAAAATCGTCTAAAAAAACATGATTTTCCTATGGAGTGTATAGTATAACAAACATTCTCATGGTTATAGTTCTTGTTTCCTCTATTCGTGTTTCGTCAGCTACAATTACCATCACAAATCAACCATTTCGATTGAAAGAAAGGGGGCAACAAAACATATTTACAAATATTATTATTCCAAATTTTTTGGGATTTTCTCTCCTCGTTTCTATGAAATAAAAATATGAATATTATTTCAATATACGTGTAGTGAGGACAAATCAGATGATTTGCCCCAAAATGTCACTGCGTTTAAAGAATTTTCCTATCAAAGAGCCTAAAAGAAAAATTCACTAGCTTGTCAGTGACAATTTGTATTGAAAAAAGTTTGGAGAAGAGAAATAAAGATATATAGAAAAAATATCAAATTTTCACTTATCTTTGGACGTTTCGGGACCGATTCTGCTCCCGTTTTCAACATAAGAAAAGATTATTTCAATAGCGAAGTCGTATATGTCTTGAAGCTTTTCAGTTTTCATTGACAATTGGTGACGTTGGCAATCAAATTCAAGATTAATTAATGAAAACATCCTGTAACTCATTTGATTGCCAACGTCACCAATTGCCAATGAAAACTGAAAAGCTTCAAGACATATACGACTTCGCTATTGAAATAATCTTTTCTTATGTTGAAAACGGGAGCAGAAACGGTCCCGAAACGTGCGGAAACTGCCTTTCCCGCACTCGACTGCTTGCCCGAACTCCGCTTCGCGCGTCGTTCGTGTCAACGGCGTCGCATGCGGGAAAGAATCACTTTCCGCACTTGTTAGGAAAATTACTATAATATACATCATGGTAGTAAAGAATAT